CACTTTACAAAAACAAATTGGTTTATAATCTCACAACCTTCACCTTTCTGACATTCTGACCCAAACAAATTCAGCGCCTTCTGTGCTTTGATTATACACTGTCCCCAAGAAAATGTTTGTGTAAAATTATTTCAAAATTGAACCAGTGACCGAGGTGTTGTTTAGATGTTGTTTTCTAATTTTAGATCTGGCAGCCATTTGATTAAACAGTTCAGCCTGTCACTGTGAGAAGTGAGCTAATAAAAAGATGTCGGAAAAAGAGAAGGTAAACAAACAGCTGTCCTGGCTGGTTAGCGAACTGTCAATCTCGATCCCCTGGGGTAGAGCCAATTTTGACCCTATGGGATTTATTTCAACAAACATGGTAGACATACACTAGAACATGTTTCATGCCAAATATCTAAGCTGTAGCTCTTTTGGATTTTCACAAGATTTTTTTTAGTTTTTAGTTTATACATATAAGGAAAATCAATGACCCCTGGGGCCGGGCCAATTTTGACACTAGGGCATTTATTTGAACAAACTTGGTAGACATCCACTAGGAGATGTTTCATGCCAAATATCTAAGCTCTAATGCTTTCGTTTTTTTACAAGAAGATTTTTTGTAAAATAATCTATTGGTTGCCAAGGCAACCAGAGTTCTTTATGGAATCTAATTCTTTGAACAAATTTGGTAGAGCTTCATGCAAGGAACATCCCTGCAAAGTTTCAACAAATTTGGGCAAGTGGTTTAGGAGAAGTTGTTAAAAGAAATTGTTGACACACGGACGGACGATTGACAATGGGCCATCACAAAAGCTCACCTTGAGGACATTGTCCTCAGGTGAGCTAAAAACAGCCCCATAATGCATTTTTTTCTACAGTTTGATTTTATTGAAATATGTTGGCATGTCTGGAGATATGCAACTTTAACAATTGCATATGATTTCACTCAGAATTAAAATTTTGTAAAACTTTTATTAATATTTTTCTTCAAACAAGATAGCACATCATACTCGAGTTTGAAAGAGTGTTTTCCCAATTCAAAATATATTTGTAAAACTTAGGACAAAGTCACAAGGCAAACAAGATCATAGTAATGGATTTTAAACTGTGATAATTATGATTCCGAGGACACTGAAATTTCAAGTTAATAACTTTAGATCTTGAACCTCAAGAAGTTTCAAACTTCAGGCTAGAAAATGTATGGGCCTTAGACGGTGGTCTACATTTACCAACCCAGTCACTGTGAAGTTACAGTGAATACACTCACTAGCTTTCAAGAAAGATCAAAAGGGGTGTAGTTAGTGAGTCTATAAGCAAGAGAATAGAAACTCTGCATGATCTATAGGTACAATTAAAACCCAAGAGACATATGTGAAGTTTCTAGTGAATACCTTCAATTGTTATATAGAAAATGCAGGTGAAACCTTAAAGGCACATTAGGGCTCAGAAATCAATATTGTTTTATTTCTTTAGAAAGGTCAAATAATTGTTTAATAATACTTCAATAATTAAATTCAAATTATCAAGCTAAGAAATATGGTATAATATAGGGTATAAAAATAACAAAATGCAAGTTTATGTAAAGTATATTTGATTGTTCTACATTGGAGAGAGAGAGAGAGATCATGTAAATAGTTTTAACATAAGTAAAATATGTATAAATAATTTGAAACAAGAGGGCCATGATGGCCCTGAGGTCGCTCACCTGTATATAGGCCCCCCGAAGCGGAGCCAGTTTAAACCCCAGGGCTTTTATTTTAACAAACTTGGAAGACACCCATTAGAAGATGTTTCATGATGGTAAGTTTTTACTACACACATATAATGAAAAATAATGATTCCCCCCCTCCCCCCGACAGGGCCAATTTTAACCCAAGGGCTTTTATTTGAACAAACGTGGTAGACACCCATAAGAAGATGTTTCATGTTAAACATCTCAGCTCTAGCTCATTGGGTTTTTTAAAAGAAGATTTTTTAAGTTTACTATACAAATATAGTTTAAAAACAATGACACCCCTGGAGCGGGCCAATTTTGACCCCAGGGCTTTTATCTGAACACACTTTGTAAACACTGACTAGAAGATGTTTCATGCTTAATATCTAAACTCTAGCTATTTGGGTTTTTTCAAAGAAGATTTTTTAAGTTTTTGCTATACACATATAAGGAAAATCAATGACCCCCTGTGGCGGGGCCAATTTTGACCCCAGGGCTTTTTTTGAACAAACTTGGTAGACACCCATTAGAACATGTTTCATGCTAAATATCTTAGCTCTAGCTCTTGGAGTTCTTTAAAAGAAGATTTTTTAAGTTTTTACTATATGCATATAGGGAAAATCAATGACCCCCTGGGGCGGGGCCAATTGTAACCCTAGGGCTTTTATTTGAACAAACTTGGAAGACACTCATTAGAAGATGTGTTATGCTAAAAATCTGAGCTCTAGCTCTTTGGGTTCTTTAACAGAAGAATTTTTAAGTTTTTACTATATGCATATAGGGAAAATCAATGACCCCCTGGGGCGGGGCCAATTTTGACCCCAGGGCTTTTATTTGAAGAAACTTGGTAGAAACCCATTAGAACATGTTTCATGCTAAATATCTTAGTTCTAGCTCTTTGGGTTCTTTAAAAGAAATTTTTTTAAGTTTACTATATGCATACAGGGAAAATCAATGACCCCCTGGGGCGGGGCCAATTTTGACCCCAGGGCTTTTATTTGAACAAACTTGGTAGACACCCAATAGAACATGTTTCATGCTAAATATCTTAGCTCTAGCTCTTTGAGTTCTTTAAAAGAAGATTTCTTAAGTTTTTACTATATGCATATAGGGAAAATCAATGACCCCCTGGGGCGGAGCCAATTTTGACCCTAGGGCTTTTATTTGAACCAACTTGGAAGACAGTCATTAGAAGATGTTTCATGCTAAAAATCTTAGCTCTAGCTCTTTGGGTTCTTTAACAGAAGAATTTTTAAGTTTTTACTATATGCATATAGGGAAAATCAATGACCCCCTGGGGCGGGGCCAATATTGACCCCAGGGCTTTTATTTGAACAAACTTGGTAGACACTCACTAGAAGATGTTTCATGCCAAATATCTAAGCTCTAGCTCATTGGGTTTTTTAAAAGAAGATTTTTCTTTCGGTTGCCATGGCAACCAGAGTCCCGCATGGAATTAAATTCTTTGAACAGTTTTAAAAGGTGACCACCAAAGGAACATTCCTGTGAAGTTTGGATGAAATTGGCTTAGTGGTTTATGAGGAGATGTCATTTAAAGTAAAAGTTTACGGACGGACGGACAGACGTTGGCCGGACGCCGGACGAAAAGCGATCACAAAAGCTCACCCTGTCACTTTGTGACAGGTGAGCTAAAAAGTAAAGTTAGAAAGAGACAAAAGTCAAAAGTACCCTGTCTTTGCTAATAAATATTGTTAATGTATATAAAAATAAAACAATTCAATCTCATAATGCATTTTTAAATAACAATAGGGCTCTATTGACCCAAAATCGCTCACAGAGGATATGTTGCTATAAATAAACATGTTATAATTTACTTCTTACAAAGCTACAAGCCAAATACCTAGAACTTTGCCATGTAGTTTCTGATAAAATTCAATCATTTTTTGCGTAACTCTATGTAAACTAAGTCGGATAATTTCCACCACGGTCGAATGATTATGTAACTTTTGTAGGAAACCATATGCATATCTAAGGTTTCAACATTTTAATTTTAAGTTTATTCTTAGGTTCAAAGATCTACCTGTGCACCAAACTCAAAGCATTTATATAATTATCATGCAGGGCCAAGAGGAGATCATTCCTGTGAAGTTTGGTCAAAATCCACTTTGTAGTTTAGCTGGTGTTTAAAGACATGATGGATCAAAACAGACATTATGCAATCATATTAACTCACTTTTGAGCATTGAGTGTTCAGGCAAATTAAAATTACCAGTTGTAACAGCATAATTATAAATCATTTGTATAAAATGACTTTTTTTAGTGCTAAAATGACTATAAAATCAAAAGTTAAAAAAGTTACAAAAGCTATAAGAACAGTATGTAAAATCAAAATATGTAAAACAAGTATGGATTAAAATAGTAATGCTTTTTTCAGATTTTCATTTGAGATGTAAAAATACTATTTAAATAAACAAGTATTAGAAAATCTAACTAACAAATCGGTTATGCTCCTAAAATTGTTAAAGTAGCTACAATACTAATCACAACCAATTGTAAATGATAACTAGAACTTCGCCAGTCGGATGTGTTGCCTTGTGAACAATATAGTTTAGGAGAAATGGCCAGGACAAAAATGAAATTTTAAAATTAACAAAGGGCAATAACTCAAAAAATAAGAAGTGCAGAGCAGCAGTTTCTGTGCACTGCACTTCTTATCAATAAGATCTATCATCCTATGAAATAAAGAATGAAAATTAACAAAGGGCAATAACTCAAAAAATAGTGCAGAATACCGGTTCTTGTGCACTGCACTTCTTCTTATTGATGTCTATCATCCTACATGTCCTATGAAGTTTCATGTCGATAGCTTTGCTGCTTTAGGAGAAATGGCCTGGACAAAATTAAAGTATGAAAATTAACCTAGGGCAATAACTCAAAAAATAAGAAATGCAGAGTACCGGTTCTTGTGCACTGCACTTCTTTTAATGAGATCTATCATCCTATGAAGTTTCAAGTCCATAGCTTTTATACTTTAGGAGAAATGGCACGGACAAAAATAAAGTATGAAAATTAACAAAGGGCAATTACTCAAAAATTAAGAAGTTCAGAGTACCAGTTCTTATGCACTGCACTTCTTCTTATAAGATCTATCATCCTATGATGAGTTTCATGTCCATATCTTTTATACTTCACAGGTGAACGTCCTGTGGCCATGACTAATTTATGACTAATTTTTTAGTCATAAAAATTTTTTTTTTCATAAAATTTATTTTTGTCAATACTTATGATGTTTGGATGATGTTTAAGGGTTTTGGGTTGTAGAGGGGGAACAAGGGTATAGTGAAAGTCATGGCCACGCGACGTTCACCTGTGATATACTTTAGGAGAATTGGCCTGGACAAAAATAAAGCATGAAAATTAACAAAGGGCAATAACTAAAAAAATAAGAAATGCAGAGTACCGGTTCTTGTGCACTGCACTTCTTCTTAATGAGATCTATCATCCTATGAAGTTTCAAGTCCATAGCTTTTATACTTTAGGAGAAATGGCCCGGACAAAAATAAAGTATGAAAATTAACAAAGGGCAATTACTCAAAAATTAAGAAGTTCAGAGTACCAAATCTTGTGCACTGCACTTTGGGTCATTATAAGAAGCATGCATACCAAGTTTGAAGTCCATCCGACTTATAATGACTGACTTATGCTCCGGACAAGCTTAAGGGGACGCCAACACCGACAATGACGCCGACGACAAAAGTAACCCCTATATGTTGCCTTTTTCAAGGCGACACAAATATATATATATATATATATATACAAACATATCACAGACAGTTTTATTTGTATCTAAATTAAAACTTATAAAAATGCACTCATATTCCTCTAGTAATATTTTGGTTATAATATAATTTCTAGACAATAAAGATCATTAACCATTGAAATTGCATGATTCTGTAAAGTTTATACATAAGTGATTCACCATACACAAATTCTTCATATAGTGGAACATCCCCGCAAAAACTCTTCACAACAGAACATCCCATACTAATGATTCACAGTAGAACATCCCACTAAAATTCTACACAGTAGAACATACCACAAAAAATTCTAACAGTGGTACATCCCACACAAATTCTTCACAGTTGAACATCCCACACAAATTCTTTATAGTAGAACATACCACAAAAAATCATAGAAGAACAACCCATACAAATTCTTCAAAGTGGAACATCCTATACAAATTCTACACAGTGGAATGTCCTCCAAAAAATTTGTTCACAGTGGAACATCCCACAAAAAATCTACACAATAGAACAACCCACACAAATTCATTACATTAGAACATCCCATACAAATTATTCACAGTGTAACATCACATTACAATTTCAACACAATGGAACATCCCACAAAAGTTCTACACAATGGAACATCCCACACAAATTCTACACAGTGGAACATACCATACAAATTTTACACAGTGGAACATACCACAAAAAATTCTCACAGTGGAACATTCCACAAAAATTCTCACAGTGGTCAATAACACACAAAGTCTTAACAATGGCACATCCCACACAAATTCTTCACAGTGGAAAATACCATACAAATTTTTTACAGTGGAACATCCCATACAAATGCTTCACTTCATTTATAAATCTGCTGAAGGATTTATATTCTATACATAAATCACTCAGTTTAATATTCAATAGCTACTATAACACAATGAAATGTGCACAATACTCTACTAAAATAAGCATACAGAAGTATTTGCAACAGCTTAAACAGCCAGAAAATTTTTGTCCATCATCAATATATCATAACATCTTATTCAAATAAGAAAATGCAATTTAAGTAATCGATAGGCTCCTACTATTTCAAATCGTTCATATAACAATAGGATCAGTGAGGCCACAGAGCTTGTGTTGTTTGTTGAATGACCTCCTCTACTGGTGTTGTCTGACTGTGAGATGACATCCAGGACAATGCTTTAGTTTCTATCATCTCCCATTCATCTTGTCTGTGTGGGTACATCTCCATTAGCCATCCTAGTACAATAGCTGTACATACAATACTCTGGTCCTGAAAAAAAGACAACAAAAATATGTGAACGGTAACTGGATATTGATGGGCTCTCGTATGAATGCTGGCAGTGACAATGATAATTTGCCAATAAAGCCAGTACTGAACCAGGCTAATTTGTACATTAATGCTTGCAGTAAAAGTGATCAATTCTCTTTCGGCATTATCCAAGTTTTAGTGAATATCTTTGAATTTTACTTCAGAACTAGAAATGTGTCCATAGGACACGGGTGCCCCCACCACGCCACTGATCTGTCAATCTTATGACTCTAGGTCAAATATTTTTTGAAAACTAAAAATCATTTACTAAGTAAAGGGCAAGAACTTAACAAATACTGAATAAATCCACAAGCAAACCCCAAGGTGCATAAGTACACATGCTGACCAACATTCTTGTAAACTTTCAGGCCTACAAGTGAAATACTTTTTGAGCTATGCATGAACAAGTTGAAAATTGCAAATTTATACTACTGTAAGTCAAGGGCAATAACTCTAACAAAAGTGAACAAAAATCCACATGCAAAGTCCCAGGTGCATAGCTTCACAGTGATGTGAATCATTATTCCTGTAATTTAGTGATGCTGATCATTATTCCTGTAAAGTTGGTTGATTCTAACTCAAGCACTCAAGAACAAATAATAACATAATGAAACAGTTTTTACTAAGTCAAGGGAAATAACTCTACAAATACTGGATAAATCCACAAGCGAAACCCCAGGTGCAAAACTAAATATGCTGAGCAACCTTCCCATAAGGTTTAATGACTCTATGTCAAATCCTTTTTGAGTTACATGCGACACAAGTTGAAAATTGCAAAAATTTTCTTTCTAAGTCAAGGGCAATAACTCTAAAAATACTAAATAAATCCAGACAAAAATACCCAAGTGCACAACTACACATGCTGATCAATATTCCTGTAAAGTTTCATGACTCTATGTCAAATACTTCTTGAGTAACATGCGACAAAAGTTGAAAATTGCAAAATTTTACTAAGTCAAGGGCAATAACTCTAAAAATGCTAAATAAATCCAGACGAAAATACCCAGGTGCACAACTACATATGCTGATCAATACAACTGTACAGTTTCATGACTCTAGGTCAAATACTTTTTGAGTTACATGCGACACAAGTTGAAAATTGCAAAATTTTACTAAGTCAAGGGCAATAACTCTAAAAATACTAAAAATATCCAGACGAAAATACCCAGGTGCACAACTACACATGCTGATCAACATTCCTGTAAAGTTTCATGACTTTAGGTCAAATACTTTTTGAGTTACATGCGACACAAGTTGAAAATTGCAAAATTTTACTAAGTCAAGGGCAATAACTCTAAAAATACTGAAAATATCCAGACGAAAATACCCAGGTGCACAACTACACATGCTGATCAACATCCCTGTAAAGTTTCATGACTCTAGGTCAAATACTTTTTGAGTTACGTGCGACACAAAAGAGAACGGACAGAAGGAGGGACGGACAAGGGTAAAAAATCTAAATGCCCGCCACTAAAGTGGGGGCACAAAAAGAAAAACACTGTAAGTATAAACAAGCACTTTCAATAGGACAGCATGCTCAACAATTCTTAGTGCTTAATTGTTAAACAAGTGCCTGGATAATATAGAGTTTTCAAAGTTCAAAAAGGGCAAGAATGCTGTCAATAGCCATGTTAGAATTATAGGCCTTGGTTATTGACCTCCTTTTATGTTCTTGAATCATTGTGTGAAGTTTCAACCCATACCCTTCAAATATTTTAGGAGATACCAACTTCCATGCAAAACCTTAATCAAAATGTGACTATGACACCAACATGAACACCTTTGTGTGTACAATAGCTCTTCTCTATATGCTGTGAACAGTTGAGCCAAAAACTAACATTGTTAAACATAAAAACTTACCTGGTTATCTGCCATTTAAAAATACATTCCAATTTTAAAAGTGAACAAGTATTTCAAGTTTAAAACAAACCATTTGATAGTATTTGACAAACGGACTTTACCAAAAAGCTTTGACTTACCAAAAACCTTTACCAAAAAGGTTAACCTGGGCAGGAAATTTTAAGTTGAAAACAGGGCATTACTTTGAAAAACGAATGATAATCTGTCCTTTGATAAAGGTTCACATTTTTTTTTCAAGAAAATGTAAAAGTTTGAAGTGCATAGTTTACACAGTTTCTGAGAAATGGATCTTCACAAAAAGGTTAACCAATGCCAGTTTTGGCAAAAGGGTCAGTACATGAAGGTTCACTTTTTTCTTCTTAAATAAATGAATTACAGAGACTGTTGCAACAAATACTTTAATTTCAACCCTACCTTAGAAATGTCCATTTTTTCGACATCCTCTTGTACAATACCGACTAGTTGTAATAGCTCAGCAGATATCATCCACTGTCCTTGAAACTGCTGTAGAGATAACACTGTCATCATCTGATCATCTGAAGAACAAGTAAATTTTTTTTAAAAATAATCCTACAAAGTTGAGCTGCGTCACGACAAAACCAATATAATGGGTTTGCGACCAGTATGGATCCAGACCAGCCTGCGCATCAACGCAGTCTGATCAGGATCCATGCTGTTCGCTTACCAACTCTATTACAAGTAAAATGGTTTCCTGCGGGGAACATTTTTAATGATACAAAGATATTTCATGTAACTATTTTCAACATTGTTTGGGGGGATAAATAAACGTTTGCATCATGAATATAGTTGACAATAATCGATCAATATAGAAGAAGGTCTTTGGTGACTGGTGACCGTTGAAGACCAGAGAAGGTCGAACATAAAACAATTATTTATTTTAAGAAAATTATTAAATAGGCCTACCATTTTAGCAAAAGAAAAGTAAACACACAAGTTTACGCAGAAAATATCTCTATTTATTAGATGCCACTACGTATATTTTAATCTTGTAGATTTTCAGTATAAACAATTTATTGTTTGTAAAAATTAAAGAAACATTGATAATTTTCAAACACATCATTAAAGTTTTTCTACCTTAAACGGTAAATAATTATAGAAAATTAGAAATATCACGTAATTAGTTTTTTGTTCTTAATGAGGTGTAATTCGTAGTCTGGAGTTCCTTCCCCTTTCGCTACGCAAAGATAATACTTGTTAGATGCCGGGAACCAGAATAGTGTAATTCGGAGGTAAATCCGTAACGTACCGGCAAACGGTATTTAGCTAGGTTTTCGAAAAGGTCAATTAACCAATCATGTACGGTTTACAGATCACATGCTCCTCCATGTACCGAAAACAGGTCACGTGCTCCTCCATGCCTCAAAAGTTAAACGCGTACCAGACCGCAGGGAACAAGTAGAGAAACTGATAGCGAACAGCATAGATCCTGATCAGACTGCGCGAATGCGCAGGCTGGTATGGATCCATGCTGGTCGCAAACCCATTATGTTGGTTTTGTCAGGATGCTGATCAAATATTGTATTATCAAAAGCATATCCCTAAATTTGTTATCAACAATGAATAAATAAACAAGAGCATGGACAAAATTTTATATGTGATCAATTTTATTTGTGAACAAAACTAACAAGACTGGAATAAGATATTCATGAAATGTTTTGACTTTGATTGTAAAAATAATTCATGGTTTAAGTATTCAATGAAAGATGTAAATCTGCATTAAATTTTCTAATAGGAAGTTGCTAAAAGAACTGACCTTTTTCAGTTTATGCAATAACATAATGCCTAATAAAGAATTTCCTCAGTCCACAATTGGGTTTTACTTTACTTAGGGTCATTGATATTGGATAGTAACTCCAAAGACACGTGTTAGCTACATGAGATATGAAGTTGCATTCAAAACCTTGAAGGGTTTCCATTGAAGTTTTCTGACATAATGGGATTGGAAATATTTTTTTCAAGATTTGTGTACCATTTGATGTAGGTCTGAAACAATGACTTGTACACTAATTTTCAAATTATTCCCTCAGCTTGTTTTACCAGAATAATTATTTTCATTGTGCAAAATGACCCCAAAGTACTCAAATCAGGCTAAGAATGGCACTTACAATTGATTTTCAATTTAATTCTGAGTATCCTTTGCAGATATTAGCATGGTAAGTGCTTCACTTGGTCCATGTAAAAATTTTCATATTTTATGTTTTTAGGCTTTTGACCTCAATGGAGCCCCCGTCAGCAAATGCTATTCCAATGCCATGGTATTATTGCCACTTTTCTTCTAATAACTAAGCTACAACACAATGACTCAAAACTTCATAACTAGTTATCAAGAACATGAATAAACTTTCATCACTTTTAAACACAGAAATTTTTTTTGTGAACCTCAAAAATGTAAACACTATAAAAACATACCATCCATTACAAGAACAGCCCCACCAGAGTTATCTGATACACATGCTGTAAAAAAAAGTCGAAATAATTTTAATTTATTGAACATGTTTCAATGTTTTTATATCACTAATAAATTTGATGGAAAAACAACCTTAAATGCCCCTATATGCACTGTTTCAGGTATAAGATGGCACATAATTCAATACAAGAGCTTGATAGATGCTTTGCTTATGACAGTGTAACAACCAAAAGTAGTGAGAGACAAAAGTTCTGAAGTTTACCTCAATTTATAAAAGCACCTTGATGTGTGTTTAACATTATATCCTTACTTTTTTCTCAACTTTTTATTATTAAATTATGTTAAAAATTGTTGTAATTTTTTCATTTTTTGTTGAATTGGATTCAAACTTGTCAAACTTTGAGAAAGCACATTTCACTCAATTTTTGGACACACCATTGAACCTGAAATCTGTTTCATGTGCATCATTAAAATTTGGTATCAGTTGAGCTGTTACTGATAATTTTGAAACCATTTGACCTACTTTCTTGTTTTTTGATGTACACAGTTGAAATTTGGACCAGGAATGTTATTTCTGATGCCGTATTGAATTTTGATATCAACTGACCTACTTTTGATATTATTGACACCAGACACCAGTTGACCTACTTTCTTGTTCTTAGACAAACAGACTTTAAATTTGGACCAGGGGTGTAATTTCTGATGCCGAATTGAATAGAGATATTATCTGACCTATCACTTGACCTACTTTCTTATTTTTTGACATACAGACTTGAAATTTGTACTAGGGGGTGATATTTTGATATTTTTGATAGAGCTTGACCTACTTTCTTGTTTTTTGACATATGGACTAGTCCAAATTTCCAGTCCATATGTCAGTTCAGTAGAAGAAGATATTTACATGGTTTTTCTATTTTTAGCTCTAGAGGCCCCTTAAAGGAGCTAATTAAATAAATATGAGCAAATTTGATAAAACACTACCTAAGAATGGTACAGACAAAGTTTGGTGATCATCCATCAATTAGTTCTCTAGAAACAGACATTTAACGGTATTTCTATATTTAGCTTTAGTCGCCCCTAAAAGGGGCCAATCAAATTAATATGAGCAAACTTGATAAAACACTACCCAAGAATGCTACAGACAAAGTTTGGTGATCATCCATCAATTAGTTCTGTAGGAGAAGATGTTTAAAGGTTTTTCTATTTTTAGCCCTAGAGACCCCTAAAAGGGGCCAATCAAATTAATATGAGCAAACTTGATAAAAGACTACCTAAGAATGCTACAAACAAATTTTGGTGATCATCCATCAATTAGTTCTGTAGAGGAAGATGTTTAAAGGTTTTCTCTTTTTTTTAGGTCTAGAGACCCATAAAAGATGTGAAATGAAATGGCATGAGCAAAATTTAATTTAAGTATGACTGTCACAAGGATACTACAGACCAAATTTAAAGTGAATCTGCCCATCAGTTTTAGAAAAGAAGACGATTGTTGACGCTTGACGACGATCGACAGGCACCGGAGCATCCCCTTTTGATACTAATAGCTCACCCTGAACCTTCGGGTTATGGTGAGCTAAAAAAAACCAGGTTGTCTGCCAAGGAAAATTGGTTCATCTGTTGAGAAATATCTGACATCTTGTGCACATAAGTGTATTCCTACATAACTTACAGATGATAAAAACACAGGGGCCATAATTTTGCAAAAAGATGATCAATATGCACAAGGCTACATGGATACATAGTTCTGTAAAAGAAAATGGTTACAAATCCTTAAGAAGTGAAAAAGAAAATGTACAAATAAGATTATTTCTCTAAATATAACATATGTGACATCCCCCAACCTACACACATAAAAAATAAGAGAGCCATTATGACCCTTAACCGCTCACCTTAGTAGATGCTTCAAAAGAACAAGATTGACCATTTATTTGAAAGTTTTTATTTTTAGCTCTGGCAGCAATCTTGATCAGCAGACCATAACCATTTAAGCACTTTTATAGGTGAATATCAAACCAACATTTATTTAAAGTTTTATCAAAATCTACCCCATAGTTAAGGTATGAAGGTTTTTCCTATATTTAGCTCTGGCAGCCATTTTATTACGCACACCTGTACAATTTTAGCAACTTTGGTAAAGGAACACCCCAATGATCATTTCTGTAGAGTTTTATCAAAATCAATGATTACACATTTGAGGATAAAATGACATATAACACTATTTCTTTATTCATAGCTCTGACAACCATCTTGTTCAGCAGACTAGTACCATTTGATTAATTTTCATAGAAAACTATCATTCCTGTAGACTTTCATCAAATTTACTTCATAATTAAGAAGTATTGGAAGATCTGGTGGAAAAACATAAAGGGCCATGATTCCTCCAAATGAAATAAAATAAAATCACCAAACCCAGTTTATATGTACTAGGGCACTTTGTGACAATACTTTTGTGGAAAATGGTTGAAATCCCTTCAGAGAAGTAGAGCACAGGAGTATTTATTCATTTCATTTGTCAAAAAATGGCCATAACTCTGCATAAAAGGATAAAGTAAAAAGAAACTAGAAATGTGTCCATAGGACACGGGTGCCCCCACCGCGCCACTGTTCTGTCAATCTTTTTACTAAGTCAAGGGAAAAAACTCTACAAATACTGGATAAATCCACAAGCGAAACCCCAGGTGCAAATCTAAATATGCTGAGCAATCTGCCCGTAAGGTTTAATGAATATGTCAAATCCTTTTTGAGTAACTTGCGACACAAGTTGCAAATTGCAAAAATTTTCTAAGTGAAGGGCAATAGCACTAAAAATACTAAATAAATCCAGACGAAAATACCTGGTGCACAACTGCACATGCTGATCAATATTCCTGTAAAGTTTCATGACTCTAGATCAAATACTTTTTGAGTTACATGCGGCATATGTTGAAAATTGCAAAATTTTACTTAGTAAAGGGCAATAACTCTAAAAATACAAAAAATATCCAGACAAAAATACCCAGGTGCACAATAACACATGCTGATCAACATTCCTGTAAAGTTTCATGACTCTAGGTAAAATACGTTTTGAGTTACGTGCGACACAAGTTGAAAATTGCAAAATTTTACTAAGTCAAGGGCAATAACTCTGAAAATACTAAAAATATCCACACAAAAATACCCAGGTGCACAACTACACATGCTGATCAACATTCCTGTAAAGTTTCATGACTCTAGGTCAAATACTTTTTGAGTTACATGCGAAACAAGTTGAAAATTGCAAAATTTTACTAAGTCAAGGGCAATAACTCTGAAAATACTAAAAATATCCAGACGAAAATACCCAGGTGCACAATAACACATGCTGATCAACATTCCTGTAAAGTTTCATGACTCTAGGTCAAATACTTTTTGAGTTACATGCGACACAAGTTGAAAATTGCAAAATTTTACTAAGTCAAGGGCAATAACTCTGAAAATACTAAAAATATCCAGACGAAAATACCCAGGTGCACAACTACACATGCTGATCAACATTCCTGTAAAGTTTCATGACTCTAGGTCAAATACTTTTTGAGTTACGTGCGACACAAAAGTGAACGGACGGACGGACGGAAGGACGGACAGACGGACGGACGGACAAGGGCAAATCTAAATGCCCGCCACTAACGTGGGGGCACAACAAAAACTAAACATGTGTCGTCATGCCAAGGATGCCCCGGCATGCAGCCAAAGTTTTAGATGTAATAATATTTAGTTACAAATTTTTTGCATAAACTATTTTTTTTCATTTTAAGTTGAAAGCACTTAAAATTATTCAATGCAAACACAAACCTTTTTTTATACAAAGTTCAAGGCACTGAAACTAATCAGCGTTAACCTTTTGTAAATTGCATATTTCATATTTGTAACAAAGGTAATGACAACATACATTTCCACAAAAGTATGAGTGCTGAAACTGAAAATTCAAAATTTTTCCAACATTCAAGAGAGATAACTTTGTCCAAAATCATTGAACCATGACCAAATTCAAACTTGAACTGCTTATTCCTAAGATGTAACTATATGTCAAATTTAAGTTGATAGTGTACAACCATTGGGGAGATAATGAACTGAAACTAAAAATTTCTGATTTTTTTCAAAGTTCAAAAGAGATAACTTTGTCAGCTATCATCAAACCATGACCAAATTCGAACTTAACCAGTGTATTATTATGACATATACATATTTAAATTTGAGTTGAATATGCACAACTGTTGGGGAGTTAATGAATGGAAACTGAAAATTTCATATTATTTTCAAAGTGAAAGGGGCATAACTCTGCCAAAAATCATCAAACCATATCCAAATTCGAACTTATTTTCAAAATTTTAAGATGTATCAATTTGATAAATTTGAGTTGAATGTGTAATACCGTTGGGGAGATAATGAACGTAAACTGAAAATATCATATTACTAAGTGAAAGGGGCATAACTCTGCAAAAAATCATTAAACCATGACCAAATTTGATCATGACCTGCGCATTCCTTTGACGTATCCATATGTCAAATTTTAGTTGAATGTATAATACTGTTGGAAAGATAATGTATTGAAACTGGAAAGTTTATATTATTTTCAAAGTGAAAGGGGCATAACTCTGCCAAAAATCATCAAACAAAAACCAAATTCAAACTTGACCTGCAAATACCTCTGACATATCCATATGTCAAATTTGAGTTGAATATGTACAATTGTTGGGGAGATAATGAACGGAAAATGAAAATTTCCTTTTTTACAAACTTAAAGGGGCATTACTCTGCCGAAAATCATCGAACCATGACAAAATTCGAATTTGAACTGCTTATTGCTAAGAATTGTACTATATGTCAAATTTGAGTTGAATGTGTATACTTTTGGGGAGATAATGAAAGGAAACTAAAAAGTTCATATTATTTTCAAAGTGAAAGGGCCATAACTGTGCCAAAAATCATTGAACCATGACCAAATTTGAACTTGACCTGCCCATTCCTTTGCCATATCCATATGTCAAATTCGAATTGAATGTGTAATGCAGTTGGGGATATATTGAACGGAAAGAGAAAATTTCATATTATTTTCAAAATGAAAGGGGCATAACTCTGCCAAAAATCATCGAACCATATCCAAATTGGAACTTGACCTGCACATTCCTTTGACATATCCATATGTCAAATTTCAGTTGAATGTGTGCAACCGTTACTAAGATAATGATGATGGATTTATGGAATGACTGAAGGATGGAACGGCCCAGCCATTTTATGGCTGGGGCATAAAAAAAATGTTATAAAATACCCAAAGTCTCTTGGTGAAAATAGTTATGCAATGGTATAGTTGAAATTCCTTGAGAAATTAAGGGTAAGTTACACAAAGAAATAATTTTTGAACCTGCCTGCCAACACATTCAACAATCTTATAAGGTATCAACCAGGTACGGAATTAGCCCCAACCCGTTGTAATCTAGAATGTAGATCTTTAAAATTTTGAAGTGGCCCAATTTAAGTCATTTCTAGTTAGATTGCTCAGAATTAAAGTGTATTTATTGCATGTGTGTAGTTTTTTGTGTGTTATATGATGAATTTAAAAGTTGTTTTTTGTGTATTCTTCAGGAACTCATTTGTTGGCGGAAGGATTAAAGATGTACTACCCACCAGCAATCAGGAGTAACATTAAAGTGGTGAATTTAAACAGTGTTACAACAGAATGCGGATTTCTGAAAAAAAAGTAGATGGCTAACCTGTTTTACTAGTATTTTGGGCCTCATTTGACTTAGATACTGTTGATGTTTAAAGTTGAAGACAGTATATAATTCATCAAGAACAGTGATCCAGAATTAGTCTCAAATTTGACCGATTTACTATAGAACAGAGAATATGAAAATTCATCAGGCCGAGACCATAACCAGCATTTTCTTTCAGAAAAGCTAGCTGGAAGAAACAAGAGGGCCATGATGGCCCTGCAATTGCTGACTTGAAATATGAAATTCTCCATGACAAGGAACATATATTAGTACTATTTAGAGATAAAATCTAAATCTAAAACTGATATCACAAAGTTCATATTTGTATCTGAAATAGTGCATACTTCTGTGTAAAAACATAACCAATTGCTATTGCTTAGGGAAAACAACAAATGTGTACAGTAACAGATAAGAAAAATAAATGACCCCATAGGGCGGGCCAATTTTGAAACCAAGGGCTTCAATTTGAACGAACTTGGTAGACACCAATAAGAAGATTTTTCATACTTAATATCAAACCTGTAGCTCTTTGGGTTTTTTTAAAAGAAGATTTTTAAGTTTACACCATGTATATATAAGGAAAATTAATGACCCCCTGGGATGCAGCCAATTTTAATTCTAAAAACTAAATCAAGCTAAAAACTTGAACACTTACCAGCCAAGGAAGACTGATTAGACAGGGAAAATTTTTCAGCAAAAAAGTTTTGTTTTTTATCTGCTGGTCTCTTCTTCTAAAATCAAAATCATTTGAGCCGCGTCATGACAAAACCAACATAATGGGTTTACGACAAGCATGGATCCAGACCAACCTGCGCATCCGCGCCATCTGATCAGGATCCATGCTGTTTGCTATCAGTTTCTTTTCTTGTTATAGAGTTTGTAAGCAAACAGCATGGATCCTGATCAGACTGTGTAGATGCGCAGGCTGGTCTGGATCCATGCTGGTCGCAAACCCATTATGTTGGTTTTGTCATGACACGGCTCATTTATCAATTTTAGTAAGGCAATTTTAATATATACCATAGTTTATGTTAGAGTATATCCCATAAGGAAATTATCAAAGATATGTAATATTTTATGAATGTCTGAATAATCAAAACCAAAGGTCATAGAAAAAATCTGTATTCATACATACTGAATAACAATAATTATTCTTTATAAATAAATTACCATAACTCACCCTTTGTGTGAGTAGATCTACCACTATTTGTGTATACAATTTATTATTCAAATATCTAAATAATCAAAACTGATGTTTTATCTTATATTACTATTATAATACCTTCAGTACTTTAAGTTTTTCTGCTGATTTTTCCTCCTCCTCCTCCTAAAAACAAAATCATTTATCAATTTTAGTAAGGCAATTTTAATATATACCATAGTTTATGTTAGAGTTTATCCCATAAGGAAATTATCAAAGATATGTAATTTTTGCTGAATGTCTGAATAATCAAAATCAAAAGGTCATTGAAAAGCACTTTATTCTTACATACAGAATTACAATATTCCTTATAAAAAAATTATTATAACTCACCTTTTTTCAATTTTTATAATTCTTACAGATTTAATTAACATTATTCATAATGATTATTTATAATTTATATATATACACCAAATAACTACTTTCAAAAAAATCAGTTGCTTTATTATAATATATGCTTATTATGTTTGCTATTTCACTCATGTACTGTAACATTTCAATTTCTAATTATTATAACTCATGCATGTTGAATAACTACTATTTGTGAATACAATTTATGATTCACAATATCTAAATAATCATAACTGATGTTTTATCTTATATTACTATTATTAATACCTTTTGTTCTGTAAATTTTTCTGCTGATCTCTCCTCCTCCTCCTAAAAACAAAATCATTTATCAATTTTAGTAAGGCAATTTTATTATATACCATAGTTTATGTTAGAGTATATCCCATAAGGAAATTATCAAAGATATGTAATTTTTGCTGAATGTCTGAATAATCAAAATCAAAAGGTCATAGAAAAATATTTATTCATTCATACTGAATTACAATAATTATTCTTTATAAACAAATTATTATAACCCATGCTCATTCAATTTTTATAATTCTTACAGATTTAATTCACACTATTCATAATGATTATTTATAATTTATATATATACCAAATAACTACTTTTCTAAAAGTTCAGTTGCTTAATCATAAGATATGCTTATTATGTTTGCCATTTCACTCATGAACTGTAACATTTCAATTTCTAATTATTATAACTCATGCATGTTGAATAACTTTTATTGTGGTGTATACAATTTTGACTCCAATATAAAAATTTAATCTTTAATGAATTTTTATTGTTTTATTTTACTATTTTTACCTCTTGTTTTTTAAAATTTTTTGTGACTGGTTCCTTCCCCCCTAAAAAAAAAATTTCTTTTTCAATTTTGAAAACCCAATTTTAAATTATTTTTACCATATTTTTATTTAGAGTATTTTTCCAAAGGGAAATTTAAAAGTTTGGTAATATTTTATTGTCTAAATTTAAAAAAACCCCTTTTTTGTCTTTTGAAAAAAAAATTTAAATTTTTATACTTTTTAAACAATTTTTCCCTTTTTAAAAAAATTTTTTATAAATCCCCCTTATTAAATTTTTTATAATTCTTAAGATTAAATTAACATTTTTTTTAAGGGGATTATCTATTTTTTAAAAAATCAGGTTGCTTATCATTAATAGATGGGTATTATTTTTTGCTTTTTTCACTCATGAAACTGTAACAATTTAAATTTCAAATTATTATAACTCTTTGCATGTTAAAATAACTATTATTTGTGTATACAATTTATGATTCACAATATCTAAATAATCGCAACTGATGTTTATCTTATATCTAGTATTAATACCTTTTGTTCTTTAAATTTATTTGCTAATATCCCCTCCACATCCCCCTTGTCCTAAAATCAAAATCATATTTTAGTAAGGCAATTTTAATACACTCAGCAAAAATAGAATATTTTATTATTATTTTTAGGAAATCAATGACAGAAATGTAAAAACAAATGTTGGGCATGAAAAAGAGATAAATGCATGACATTGATCTGCATTTTGTTGTTTATTAATTATGTTTAAGTTTGATAAATTACACTAGTTCTAAGGAAAGGGTCAAATTCAATTTATCAATTTTGTGGCTATAATGTTTTGACTACGTGCAGATAGGTTTTAATCATTTCATTATAAGTTTTTAAATGCATGCAATTTTTTTCATTTAATTCAATATCGGTTGTGGCCATCTCTGGCTCTAAGTAGTGCGTCCACGTGTCAACGTATAGAATTGAAGAAACGTTCAACCATGTTATTTGGAAGATTGTTCCATTCCGCTATCAATGCATTTGTCAGTTGGAGGATATTCTGTGGGGTGTGATGCCGTCGGACATTTCTGCCAAGCACATCCCAGATATGCTCTATCGGATTCATATCTGGAGACATTGCTGGCCATTGCATAGTATTGATGTTGGCTGCAGCTAAGCAAGCGCGAGTTATCCTCGCCATGTGAGTACAGGACTGTTTCTTTGCATAAACGGAACAGCCTAGGCATTAAAGACTTCATTGATGTATCTCTGGACATTAAAGTTGTCGTGTATAACAATAAGCCGGGTCTTTTGCCCACCCATTATCCCCCCCCCCATACCATGACCCTTCCACCACCGAAATGATCATGCTTTCCAATACAGACAGGTGCAAACCTTTCGCCGGTAAATTCTTACATGGCCGTCGGCATGACTGAGATTGTAACAAGACTCATCTGAAAACAGGACAGTATTCCAGTCATATCCCCGCCAGTGACAATGCGCACTTGCCCACCTAATACCGGCCTGACAATGGCCTAAAGTGAGAAAACAGCTCACCCTCTAATCGCGCTCAAAACCGATTGCTAATGGTTTGCGCAGTTACGTTAAAAGCTGGCGGGGTCAAGGTCGCCAGTCAGAACTTGTCACTTAAGTGAGTTAAAACAATTGCCCGGTCGTCCCTTTGGGTAGTTGCCTTTGGCCTACCTGACCTTGGAAAATAGTGCACATCTCCTGTATGTCTATAGCGTCTTACAAGTTCATGAACTGTGTTGCGACTGAAGTTAAACATTCTACTCAAGTCACCAACAGATGCCCCACCCAACAGCATTCGTATTGCATGATTTCTCTCTGTTTCTGATAAACGTGGCATTGTGAAAGCTATCACCTTTAGGTGTGAATAACACTAAATTGTTACTGAACACATGTACAGTGACTAACATCACTGTCTATTTGACATAGTTCAGCATACAATGGGTTCATGTGCAAAAACTGAAATTTTTACGCTCAGGTAGGTCATGTTGAATAACTTTTATTGTGGTGTATACAATTTATGATTCACAATATCTACTGATGTTTATCTTATTACTACTATTTATACCTTATAACTGAAAAGTAATTAACATTTTTTTTCCAAAATAACACAGCTAAACTGACCAAGAATTTTTAACAGAGTTACCAACGTCCCCAGCCTCAGGAAAGTTTTATATGAAGCATAAAATAGTGCTATTTCACAAGATTGAGGTATGGATCTCAGGACTTTCAGTCCAAAATTATGATCAATGCTAGATCTGCAAATGCAACAATAAATTTATTAAAGAAATAAAATGAAACACGAAATTTAACAAGAGCTGTCTGTAGGACAGCATGCTCGACTATTCTAAGTGCTTGATAGTAAAAGAGCCTTGATATTGTTAAATTTTTTAAGTTAACAAAAGGGCTAATTTTTTTTTAAAAATTCATGTTATAGGCCTTAGAGAGAGTCTAATTATACAGAATTGGCTTGACTATTCAGAAGGTAATGTGTCACAAGGTTTTTTTTATTGAGTATAATAATACTAATTACCTATAATACATAAATTTGACAGAAAAGGTACAAAGGGCTTGTTATTAAGATGTTTTATCAAGTAAATCACTACTTTATTATTATGAATGCATAAAATTGTCCCAAAAAGGCACAAACCCTTCAGTAGCTATTGAGATAACAGCTTACAAGCAAAACTTTACCATGAATTTCTAAGTTGAAAAAGGGGAGAAAAATCAGCCTAAATGCAAGATAGAATTATGGATCTTTTGTCAGTGACCTACAATTATGACCCTAAATGCATATGTGAAGTTTTAAATAAATATCTTTAATAGTTATTGAGATATGTAAAACTTGCCTGTAAACATTAACCAAGAGACTAAGTAAGAAAAGGGGATATGAATCAGCCTTAATGCAAGATAGAGTTATGGAACTTGGTCAGTGACATACAATTATGACCCTCCAATTATGACCCTAAGTGCATGTGTAAAGTTTCAAGTAAATATCTTTGAAGACCGTTAACCTTTAACCAAAATTTCTAAGTTTCAAAGGGGCAAATAATTCTGCAAATATTGCAGACAGAGTTATGCAATTTTGCAAACTGATGTACATTGTTACTATAAATAAGTATTTTTAAATTTCAATTGATTATCTCAAGCAATAATTGAGATATTTGACTTTACAAAAAAAACTTTAACCAAAATTTCTAAAGTTCCAAAGGGGCATAATTCTGTCAATATGGTAGGCAGAGTTATCCAACTTGTCACCCTGATGTACATTGTTACTATAAATAAGTATTGTAAGTTTCAATTGAATATCTCAAGCAATAATTGAGATATTTGACTTTACAAAAAACTTTAACCAAAATTTCTAAGTTAAAAAGGGGCATAATTCTGTCAATATTGTAGGCAGAGTTATCCAACTTGTCAATCTGATATACCTTGTTACTATAAATAAGTATTGTAAGTTTCAATTGAATATCTCAAGCAATAATTGAGATATTTGACTTTACAAAAAACTTTAACCAAAATTTCTAAGTTAAAAAAGGGGCATAATTCTGTCAATATTGTAGGCAGAGTTATCCAACTTGTCAATCTGATGTACCTTGTTACTATAAATAAGTATTGTAAGTTTCAATTGAATATCTCAAGTAATAATTGAGATATTTGACTTTACAAAAAACTTTAACCAACGCAGACGCCGACGCGGACGCTGACGCCGACGCCGACGCTGGGGCGACTACAATAGCTCTCATATTCTTCGAATAGTCGAGCTAAAAATCTATCATGTTAATTTTGACCTCAAAGTGTGACCCTGACCTTGGAGGTAGGGGTGCAGATGTTGTATTTGACATGTTGTCTTATTATTGTGACTATTTGTACCAAGTTGTACTTGAAACATTGTCTTATTATAACAAACATTTGTGCCAAATTATTTCAAATTCATTTGATAAATGACAAAGTTGTGGAGCAGACATGAAAGTGTGATGGACGGACAGACAGAGTAAGCCTATTTCTATATCCCCCTTTTTTCTTCGAAAAGGCAGGGGACAATTACCTATGAAAATCTAATGAAATTTAAGTGCAATTATACAATTTTCGTTTAAAAAAGTTTAGTTGTTGCTTACAGGTGTAGCAGCTCTAGAAAGGTTAAATTTATTGTAAAGTTTTACTTTGGAAGGAATTGATATATTTTTTGTGCCAAGGCCAACTCTACAGAGAGATGGTTTTACGTTATCTCTTGCAAACAGACTCAATGAAACAAAGTCTGCAATTTTCATTATGATATTGATGTGTTTGTTGTTTCTAAGGGATCAAACCTTTTCAAGGTTTTGTAAGTTGGTATAAGCAATTTTGTTTTTTTAGTGCACTAACATATATAACCTAGAATTGATATAGAACAAGAGCTACCACCTGGCGCTAGCCAAACTTTACTTTTTTTGAACAAGTGTGCAAAGTTTCAAAGCCATATGTCTATGGACTTTGAAAATATTTGAGGTATTACAAAAACTTTAACGTAAATTCTTAGTCGAAAAAGGGGCATAATTCTGTCAAAATGCTTGATACAGTTACCTCCCCCTGTCTACATGTTGGGATCATGACTGTGAACAAGTGTGCAAAGTTTCAAAGCCATATGTCAATGGACTTTGAAAATATTTGAGGTATTCCAGAATTTTTAATGTTAATTCAAAGTCGAAAAAGGGGCATAATTCTGTCAAAATGCTTGATACAGGTACCTCCCCCTGTTTACAAGTTGGGGTCATGATGGTGAACAAGTGTGCAAAGTTTCAAAGCCATATGTCAATGGACTTTGAAAATATTTGAACTATTACAAAAACTTTCACATAAGTGGTTACCCCGACGCCGACGCAGACGCCGGGTGACTACAATAGCTCTACTTATTCTTATCGAATAGTCGGGCTAAAAATCAAGCAAGATTCAAACATTTGACATTGAAGGTCAAGGTCATTTAAGAATCAACGCAAAGTTCTGTCTGGTCTACATGAAGGTCATGGCCAAATGGTTGCTGCCTCTGTTTTATATGACTGACATCATCTGACTGTATTTCTTCACAAAGACATTCTATATTTTCATATTGAGGTGTGTAAAACAGATATCATGATAATCTGTACTTCTGAAAGTAATTTTATTATAACATGACTTGATTACACTCTTGTGCTAAATAATGTTTTTGTTTGTTTGTTTTTTGCATGGGCAAGAGGCTTAAATTGAATTGAAGTATTGTATTGTATGAGTGATTCCAGATATACTTTAATACACTAACACATTAAAAGCCTTACATTGAAGAAAAGGTCATCCCCACCTGGTTCGTCAAATAAACCACCTGCTATCAAATTTGCTTTGAAGTGTATATCCAATTTCTGAAAGGAAAGAAACAAGCTCATACATTGTATATCTCAAATAAAAACACAAAAGAATCATGGTAAAATTCTAGGTTAAATACAATAGCATTTCTAGAAGATAAAATTCTGATTTTTTTGAAATACTAAAATTCCAATATGCCATGTGATTTTGTCACTATACACAAAGAAGAAAAAAATGGGGTTAAAGTACCAATAAACACTGGTTAAGGACTACATGTACATGTATATGTGGCTGTTCTTTTTATTCTCCCTCTGATAAGATGGATAAAAAAGCCTAATAAAACATTTTATTGATATTTTCCATTATTACCAATTATTTCAACAGTAACTCAATTGACAAGCTGCATATGAAATGAAACAAAATTAAATGATATTTAACTACGCGAACAAATGTTTACTTTGTTGCAGCTGACTGTAAAACAAGAATTTGTAACAGAATAATCAACATCCCCCGCATAATTGGAAGTTTTACATGAAGCACAAAATTGTGGTATTTCATAAAAAATTTCCATATCACTGATTTAAGGTTCTATTCTAGTACAAGATATTAACATTTCTCATCACTTACCACTTTTAGTTCACAAATGAATATATCTGTCAGGGTAGGTACTTTAGAAAACTTGAGACCAGGATCCTTAACTACATTATCTCCCTTGTCATTCAATGCAGTATAAAAAGTGTATTTTGAGATGATGTTACTTTGGCAACTAAGACTCTTTATCTTTTGTCGTAGAGAACTTATGTCAGAACAAAACTCAACCCATTGTGGTATTTCTGGATTATCTATAACAACAAAATATATATATAATGTTGAAAAAAATTATACAGGTTTATTTTTTTACACATATATTTCTTTTTTTAACAAGATTAACGCTATAGTTATATTCAAGTAGTTATATCTTTTTTATAATCTATTCACACAGTACTGAAAGAAAGTACACTTGAAAATTTACAAAATCAGTCATCTGTAATTATAAGTTGTTGTGAATGTTATTTACATGGTTATGTTATAATGGGTTAAGTGTTGAATTTTATCATTCTTTTCAAAATAATGACTTTTGAAGAATACATTTAACAAGAGGGCCATGATGGCCCTGAAATCGCTCACCTGTATAAAAGCCCCCGGGGCGGGGCCAATATTAACCCAGAGGCTTTTATTTGAACAAACTTGGTAAACACCTATTTGAAGATGTTTCATGATAAATATCTTAGATCTAGCTCTTTGAATTCTTTAAAAGAAGATTTTTTAAGGTTTTACTATATGCATATAGGGAAAATCAATGATCTCCTGGGGTGGGGCCAATTTTGACCCCAGGGCTTTTATTTGAACAAACTTGGTAGACAATCACTAGAAGATGTTTCATGCCAAATATCTAAGCTCTACCTCTTTAGGTTTTTTAAAAGAAGATATTTTAAGTCTTTTCTTTCGGTTGCCATGGCATCCAGAGTTCTGCATGGAATTAAATTCTTTGAACAATTTTTAAAGGTGACCACCAAAGGAACATTCCTGTGAAGTTTGGATGAAATTGGCCTAGTGGTTTATGAGGAGATGTCATTTAAAGTAAAAGTTTACGGACGACGGATGGACGACGGCTGGACGCCGGACGAAAAACGATCACAAAAGCTCACCCTGTCACTTTGTGACAGATGAGCTAAAAAAAGTCATACGTAAGGCTACAAATTCCTCTTCCTGATCTTCCAGAAGCTTTATCTGAGCTTTGGTTGCTAGGTGACGAACTGCAGCAGATACAGTGACATCATCTGATTTAAGAATGTCAAAGGTCATACTGTGAGTCAAAGCTTTCCCATCCTGTACACCTTTCAAGGTCACTTTGCAGGGAGCATTAGTAGTCTGTAAAGATAAAATACAATTACTGTAAACAATTAAGAAATCTTACATAAAAATTAAAACTGAACTTTGGACAAATCAATAATGGACAAATCAATTATGTTTATATGTTTACACCAACCAGCTGAAAAGTTTAAGATGGGGCATCTGTAGTTAAGGTTTTTAAGATGGCTGACATCTTAACACTTGCCCTACAATATTGTAGATTCAAACCATGCTAGGGACTTTAGATTCTAAACTGTCAGCAGTTATGACTATAACAGTTGGTATCACTTTTTAATGGGCAGAGGCCTTAGCCTCTTGATTTTGAGAAAAATTATCCATATACTTTATATAATTGAGCTAAAAACAACTTACATTTTCCTTCATTCCCTGTATAGCAGCAAATATAACCAGCCTCTCTCCAGCAGATATCACATTTTGAGGTTTCTCAGGAATCAGATCTACAGTCAAACCTGATGGTATATCCAACTTAACTTCTACATATGTTATAGCTGGTTGCATAGAATACTTAAGTAGTGCTATAGCCTGTAATTATAATAGACAATTTCATAAGGTGAGGTTTCGAGACAATAATAATCAAATGACAACTGAAATCAAATCTGTGTCAAGGTTTCATTTAATTGCTACAAAGTTACTTAAGTTCTCATCAGTAAAAGCTGCGATATAATATAATCTAGCCAGCAGTTTCATTTCTTGTTATGATATTCCCAGGTTAAACTGTTAAAGGCAATTCTTACACCTCAGGGGTGCAGAATTATTATGCCTGACTTGCCCGACTCGGGACTTTTTGCTGACGGACAAGTGGTTTTTCACATAGCAGTTGTCTGTGGACAAGTGCATTTGTGAGTCAGAAAAAAGCAAAATGCCGAAAGTCTAACTGTACTCGATCGTGAACAATAAAATTTTTCCCGATTTTATTTAATCTGTATTTACAATGCGTAAATTTTATTTGTACACCATCTCCAACAGCACAAATAAATCTGTATGATGTTAATTCAGCCTGTATGAGGCCTCTTGCTTCTATTGGAAAACAAGCTTGGCGATTGGTTGTATCGAGGCAACCGACCCGTGCCTTAGTAAATAATGCGCAGCATCATATATTAGGTGTTGTGTTGTTTATTGTTTTGATACAAAATGGACTAATTTTTCACAAGGTCTGAAAATAATCTGAAAAGCATAAATCAAATTTGCAAAGAGACAAAGAGTATGAACGCAAACACATTCTTGTGTTAAAAGATAGCTGATTAACCAATTTTACTTTGCTCTGAAAAGATGATAATTTAGACAAACTTTACTGTCTGTGTCATGTTTGCAAAATGTTCCCGCAAATGGTAGATACTACCTCGCTCCTTTATGAAGGGAAATCATTAATAAGAAAGTTCACTCATACATCACATCAAATGTTGTTCAAACGTGTCATTTGTGTCCAAATACGAGTTTTAGCAAAACCCCAGTAAACAAGGACCCATTGGTTAAATTATGTAGGCATTTGTAATAAACTTTTCTACTGTTTATTTGGGCAAGTGAACTTGAGCGGCGTACTTGTATGAATTTTAGTCCAACTTGTCCATGGGCAACTGGAAAAAATCCAAAATTCCACATCCCTGCACCTTCAATCATACTTCATTATTCTAAAGTATATCAACAACAAAAAAATAAAAAGACCTTAATACTAGACAAAGAACCATAAAAACTTGTGCAAATATCAATAATTGTCAAAATTTTGTTTTCTAAACTTATATCTTTAGAATTATGAAGATGTTTTAAATCCCAGTGATATAACCTACCTTTGGTTGTACACGCTCATTGTCCTTAATAAACTCTGCTCTACCAAATCCGATATGTGCAACATCTTTCAACAAAACAGTTGAATAGCCATAGTCCATAGCCAGGATGAAAATCCTGTAAAAAATGCAGAAAATAAAAATATGTACATCTCATAACAGAAACATAAGAAAATAAGAATCATTTTTTAATCTCATGTATCTAAACATATCTTGTTATTTACTTCTTTTAGACAGAATATGGTGACTGGTAGTCATGTGAAAACAATCCTTGATGCCATTTGTACTTTGTATCCAGCAAAAGGATCTACGGGTATAAAAAAAACTCATGAGCTTTCAATTCAGTTAATTACATATTTGTATTTTTCACATAACACCCCAAACTTCGCATATGGGATCAAACCAAGACTTGCTTGAAGGGTGAGCGCCTCAAAGTCAAAGACTTGAACCACTTAATGATGAAGGAGCCTTCATTTAAATTCATTGTATTAAAATACACCAACTGCTTACATACATGTACATAGTAAGTGAAATACAGCGCTACAATTGCATAATTAAACTACGTTTTTACAGTTACCTTGAATTTGTTTTCTGTCCTTGTTTCTTTACAAGGTCTGTGACCTGACTTGTTATTTTGGCATTATATTTCGTCTTTCCATCTGTTAACAAAAACACCTGTTGAAACAAAATTTGGTCATTAAACTTTTGAGTACACCTATGTAAAAGAACAGAGCAAAGCCAGCCAGGAAATCCATAGTCTAACCATACGCTATAACTTCTGCTGAATTTTTAGCATAAAAATTTGATATCAAAACCATTTACACAAACAATGGACAGTTCCAAAGTATAAGAAGGACAAGTCCACTATAAAAACAAGATATGTTTGTAAAACATGTATGCCCCCTATCAGCAGCCAATTAGTCATGTGATAAGGTTATTATGCATGACTTCTGACCCAGTGATCAAACAATTAATAAGGGTTATCAAGTATCTACTGGTCATGACCTTAACCTTTGACCCCTTGACCCAAAACTCAATAGGGGTCATCTGCTGGTCACGACCAATCATCATACAAAGTTTGAAGTTCCTAGGCCTAAGCGTTTTTAGTTAATTGATCAGAAACCGTTTTTACCTACAAGGTCAATGTGACCTTGACCTTTGACCCCAAAATCAATAGGTCATCTGCTGGTCATGACCAATCACCATACCAAGTTTGAAGTTCCTAGGCCTAAGGGTTCTTTAGTTATTGATCGGAAACCGTTTTAACATACAAGGTCAATGTGACCTTGACCTTTGACCCCAAAATCAATAGGGGTCATCTGCTGCTCATGACCAATCACCATGCCAAGTTTGAAGTTCCTAGGCCGAAGCGTTCTTTAGTTATTGATCAGAAACCGTTTTTACTTACAATGTCAATGTGACCTTGACCTTTGACCCCTTGACCCAAAACTCAATAGAGGTCATCTGCTGGTCACGACCAATCATCATACTAAGTTTGAAGTTCCTAGGCCTAAGCGTTTTTAGTTATTGATCGGAAACCGTTTTTACCTACAAGGTCAATGTGACCTTCACCTTTGACCACTTGACCCCAAAATCAATAGGTCATCTGCTGGTCATGACCAATCACCATACCAAGTTTGAAGTTCCTAGGCCTAAGGGTTCTTAAGTTATTGATTGGAAAGCATTTTTACCTACAAGGTCAATGTGACCTTGCCCTTTGACCCCTTAACCCCAATATCAATAGGGGTCATCTGCTGGTCATGACCAATCACCATACCAAGTTTGAAGTTCCTAGGCCTAAAGGGGTCTTTAGTAATTGATCGGAAACCGTTTTTACCTAAGAGGTCAATGTGACCTTGACCTTTGACACCTTGACCCCAAAATCAATAGGGGTCATCTACTGATCATGACCAATCACCATATCAAGTTTGAAGTCCCTAGGCCTAAGGGTTCTTTCGTTATTGATCGGAAACCGTTTTTACCTACAAGGTCAATGTGACCTTGACCTTTGACCCCTTAACCCCAAAATCAATAGGGGTCATCTGCTGGTCATAACCAATCACCATACCAAGTTTGAAGTTCCTAGGCCTAAGGGTTCTTTTGTTATTGATCAGAAACCGTTTTTACCCAAGAGGTCAATGTGACCTTGACCTTTGACCCCTTGACCCCAAAATCAATAGGGGTTATCTACTGATCATGACCAATCACCATACCAAGTTTGAAGTTCCTAGGCCTTAAAGATCTTTAGTTATTGATCGGAAACCGTTTTTGCTTACAAGGTCAATGTGACCTTGACCTTTGACCCCTTGACCCCAAAATCAATAGGGGTCATCTACTGATCATGACCAATCACCATACCAAGTTTGAAGTTCCTAGGCCTTAAAGTTCTTTAGTTATTGATCGGAAACCGTTTTTCCTTACAAGGTCAATGTGACCTTGACCTTTGACCCCTTGACCCCAAAATCAATAGGGGTCATCTACTGATCATGACCAATCACCATACCAAGTTTGAAGTTCCTAGGCCTTAAAGTTCTTTAGTTATTGATCGGAAACCGTTTTTCCTTACAAGGTCAATGTGACCTTGACCTTTGACCCCTTGACCCCAAAATCAATAGGGGTCATCTACTGATCATGACCAATCACCATACCAAGTTTGAAGTTCCTAGGCCTTAAAGTTCTTTAGTTATTGATCGGAAACCGTTTTTCCTTACAAGGTCAATGTGACCTTGACCTTTGACCCCTTGACCCCAAAATCAATAGGGGTCATCTACTGGTCATGACCAATCACCATACCAAGTTTGAAGTTCCTAGGCCTAAGGGTTCTTTAGTTATCACTCGGAAACCATTTGGTCTACGGACCGACGGACCGACAAGTGCAAAGCAATATACCCCCTTTTCTTCGAAATGGGGGCATAATAAAGCATGGTAAGGGTTAATGATTAAAGCATCATTTTTTCTTATATCGATGGACTAAATAAATCCCCCCACACCTTTGCTTTTAAGCTCACCTGTCACTTAGTGATTTTCCTTATATGCACACATATTTTGGACTGTTGTTTTCCCTTAGAAATAGCAACCAGTAATGTTTAAACACATGCACTATTTCAGATACAAATATAAACTTTGTTGTTTAAGATTTAGATTTTATAACTGCTTTTGTTTATAGTTTAAAATATACTTGTTCCTTGTCATGGAGTTTCTATATACAGGTGAGCAATTTCAGGGCCATCATAGCCCTCATGTTATTTCAATTTATCACAGTCATTATCAATGTACACTATATCAACATTCTGGTTAGCTCAATAGGTACAGCATTGGACTGTCAATCAGACCTGCAGGTCACATGTCATTGATCATAAAATCCTTACTATATGGTTATTCGACCTGTACCTCTGCTATGACATGTACAGAAGTTATCAGTTCCTTGCAAAAGTGAAGGCAACTAGTACTGGTAAACTTCCTGACAGCCTGCCCAGGAACAATGCGGTGGCTGAACTGTGCTCTGGTAAATTCAATGTGGCTTACTGCCGTGATCCGAAGTGAAAAAACTACTAACACCATCACACATACAGTATCATATTTGAAACATACAAAGTGATGATTTTCATACTCACCTGAATTATATGGATAATACAGGCTAATCATTGTCCGTGCTAGCATCCATAAAGTTCAGAACATTTTGTAAACTGTTAAAACACCATGAAATTGCATATTTATTAATATATTATGCATCTTGAAAAAATTTTGTTTAGAGAAAGATAAAAAATAATAATATAAAACTTACCTTTCTAGGATGGCCAGATATAGGTTTTTTACCATATATGTGGTCTAAAGCTTTGAATATGTCTGCATTGTAAGTGATGTCAGTTTTCATCTTTTCCAAGAATATGAATGCTTCTTTCAGTGTTTTCTCTGTGTATTTATTACTGTTTCTGCAATAAAAAAATCAATTTCTCTCTATTTTTATGCTTTGCTTAAAAATTTCATTTGTTTCTATCTTAAAGTCATTTTATTTTCGTTTGGTCTGGTACCATGTTGCACCAATAAAGTATAGGTAATATGGCCACTTTCCAGCTTTACTGGTACAGGAAGACCTCAAGTGCCCTTCCATGCGTAATTTCAGGCACAAATGGGCACCAGAGGAGAACCATCGTTCAATAGGCTAGCTGGATAGCTACCTCACAAGAAAGAAACAAAAATCACTTTTGAATTCAAACCCACAGCAGTGAGGGGCAAGAGGTTTGAAGTCAACACCCTTAACCACTTGGCCAAGGATGCTTTTATTTTTTGAATTGAGATTGAAACATATTTATTCAGCATCATACACCCTAACTTTATAAAGTTGCCACAAACTACCTTGAATCGATGTACCTGGTGTATAAATAGTTTCAAAACAATATGAGATAGGAATTGTGAGGAATGGTTAATTATTATATTACTTTATAATATTTCGGCAAGTGGTTAAGTATAAATAAAGTATTCTTACCTAAATAAAGAGTTGACCTTAGTGGCATAGGATATGACATTAAAGAAACAATCAGCTGGTAAACTCCTTAGGAACAGCTGCAGTGCTTTCTTGGCATTTTCCATCTTAGTACCCTCCATCTTTCCTGAAAATAGTAAATAACAAAGGGTCAGTATACATGATAAGTCACAGACAAATGAGCCGTGTCATGGCAAAACCAACATAATGGGTTTGCGAGCAGCATGGATCCAGACCCCGCAGTCTGAATAGGATCCATGCTGTTCGCTATCAGTTTCTCTACTTGTTATAGGGTTCGTAAGGGAACAGCAGGGATCCTGATCAGAATGCGCGAATGCACAGGCTGGTCTGGATCCATGCTGGTCCCAAACGCACTATGTTGGTTTTGTCGTGACGCGGCTCATTAATTAATTTTAATAATTTTTTTTTGGTCTTATGGCGACTTTCCAGCTTTAGTGGTGCCCAGCTTTAGTGGTGCAAGAAGACCTTAGGTGCTTCTCCTTGCATAATTTCAGGCACAAATGAGTGTGTGAGTTCAACCACAGTTCCATCAGGTACTGTATTTGTGGATATTTAAGCTTCACAAAATTTTGCGAATGTCAAAAAGTTTACTTTTTGTGTGAGGAAATATTCGCAAAGTATGATTTCTTGAATTTTATACTGTTTTTCTGATATCATTAATAAAGCAGGTTCATGTTAAGAATATGTCATTACTGTAATCGTTCTATTTAGTTGTTCAATACTTTATTATTTATATAATTGTTTGAAAAACATATTGTTAGTTTGATAAAGGAGCAGATCACACATTTCTTTGTCGAATCCCGGACAATCCCCCTCCCGGACGATTCCCCTTCCATATTATTTTCACAACCCGGACATTTCCCCTCCCGTTATTTTAATAGGGCGGACTTTTCCCCTCCCGTTAATTTAGCAGAGCGGACAATTCCCCTCCCATTTTTTTAGCAGAGCGGACAATTCCCCTCCCGTTTTTTCACATTGCGTATAAAAAAATCTATAACCATTCTTATCAAAGATGACAGTTTTTACTCTTAACAATAAACTGTTAAAGATCGGAACTTTTAACAATCATTATTTCACAAAAGTGACATTATACCGCCTTTAATCATTGCCGCCGCTGCTTAAGATAAACAAACTGTCAATAAAAAATCTTTAATCATTGCCGCCCTTAATTAAATGTGTCCTTGATTGCAAAAATGTATATACCTTTCAAATAAACAATATTATATAATATATATTAGGGATGTCATTCGGAGTCCGGATATCCGAACGTTCGGATAACGATTAGTTTGACAATACACATCATAACCTCTGCAGTCCACAAAAAATTCAATAATTACTATAATAATTACGAGTCAATTATGAAACATGTTGTTAATCAAATTTAAGTTTTGTAAGATTTTAAGTCCCGTGCGACTTTCATCGGCAACGATGTTACATTTTTTTATGTCCAAATTTAAATATTTAATTAGGTTATTATATTTATATATATTTCGGCTTACCGACCCGTCGACTCCTTATTTTTAGACATTGAAAAATCTGCAGAAAAAAAATTAGCAAATAAAGAAATTCACTTACGCATTATATGTTAATTATCAAAGCTTTTATTGAAATTGATACGAAAATTATCCGACAAAATAACTTTCTCCTTGAGTATTAATCAAACATGTGCATTTTTTTAAAAACATTTTTTTTCACATTTCTTTTTTCACTTATGAACACTTAAAATGTGTGTAATTCATGTAAGTTTCGGCAACTTCTTTGATGATTCGAATCAACAGCCAGGGCTACATGAAGGTAAACATCAAAGAATGGCACATTCTTTTTAATAGCCGACTACACGCCTGTCAAAGGTCATCGTGTGTAAATTGTATGCGTGTTATTGAACAATGGAAACATTATATTCAATTTTTTACGGATATTACTTTGATTTCACAAATGTGAGCGAATGTTATTGTGTATTATAGAACTAATTGAGGAATTCAGACAATCGGCGGCGATTTTCGTTTCCATTTCATTTGAAATCGTAAGTACCACACGCACTAAATTTATTAATAAAAGCTAGTCGTATTCTATATAGAAGAAATAAAAATCAATCACGGAAGATTTTTGATATGTATCATTCAATTAAAAAGGAAGAAAAACGAAATACTACAATTTGAAAAAGGTCGCGAAGAAATGGTTACGTCATATCAGACATCTAAGAATATGACAACGATCCGAACATCCGGATGTTTGATTCGGATATCCGGATGGCCGTTTCGGCTCCAGATGACATCCCTAATATATATATTCAACAGCCACGGGAGGGAAATTGTCCGCTCTGACAACAGCGGGAGGGGAATTGTCCGGGTTGTTAAAAGAACGGGAGGGGAATTGTCCGGGTTGATAAAAGAACGGGAGGGGAATTGTCCGCCGTAAAAAAATAACGGGAGGGGAAATGTCCGGGTTGTGAAAAAACATTCAAATTTACTGGGAGGGGAATCGTCCGGGAGGGGAATTGTCCGGATACCTTCTTTGTCATATTTTTGAAACATTCTTTTGTTATATGATAGATCTATAGTGTTATTAACACATATATTGTTTTATGAAAACATTTGTGATTTGTTAAGACCAAACTCAAACAAACAAGCAATGGGAAAAATTAATCTCAGTACCTGAACGTCAAACTTGGAAGACAGACAAAACCACACACGTCAAAACCCCACACCTCAATTTTATAGAGTGGACAAAACCCCACACCTAAATTTTATATAGTGGACAAAACCCCACACCTAAATTTTATATAGTGGACAAAACCCCAGTTACATATATATATGCTGTGCCGTAATTGGACTGGCATCTCGATGTGGTGGTATGTGTGTATATATTCTCTCATTTCTATAACAATGTATCTGCACACTTGTATCTTAAGTGATCCCACACAGGAGAAAGTATAACTGTATTGAATTTAATTATCTCCCTTTATATATATATATATATATATATATATATATCTGATTTACCTGATATTTCAATGATAAACACATATTCTCCATTGGTTGCAATAGAAACCTTTCTCAAATCTGGCTGGAAACTCAACATACAAATATCTTTTTTGTACACTTCCTCTAAAAATAAATAATACAAATATTCTTTTCAGTAAATGATGCTTTTTGCAACATGAACAACATTTATCACATACCCATTACGAATCCCGGACAATCCCCCTCCCGGACGATTCCCCTTCCATATTATTTTCACAACCCGGACATTTCCCCTCTCGTTAGTTTAATAGGGCGGACTTTTCCCCTCCCATTAATTTTACAGGGCGGACAATTCCCCTCCCATTATTTTAGCAGAGCGGACAATTCCCCTCCCGTTTTTCACAGAGCGCAACGTGACATTATACGGCCCTTAATCATAGCCACCACTGCGTATAAAAAAATCTATAAACATTCTTATTAAAGATGACAGTTTTTACTCTTAACAACAAACTGTTAAAGATCGGAACTTTTAACAATCATTACTTCACAAAGGTGACATTATACCGCCTTTAATCATTGCCGCCGCTGCTTAAGATAAACAAACTGTCAATAAAAAATCTTTAATCATTGCCGCCCTTAATTAAATGTGTCCTTAATTTTTGCTTTTTTGTTCTCATCAATTGTTCTTTTATTGTTTTGCCGCTGCAAAAATGTATTGACGAAATAAAGATTATTTTAAAAAATGCGTTTTGTTTTGTTTATATTCATGTATGAAAATTGGGGTTATACCATTCGCTCGTCCGCCCTAGAGACAAGCAAAATGTATTTAAAGCCGATTAAAAATACCTTTCAAATTAACAATATTATATAATATATATATTCAACAGCCACGGGAGGGAAATTGTCCGCTCTGACAACAGCGGGAGGGGAATTGTCCGGGTTGTTAAAAGAACAAGAGGGGAATTGTCTGCCGTAAAAAAATAACGGGAGGGGAAATGTCCGGGTTGTGAAAAAACATTCAAGTTTACTGGGAGGGGGATCGTCCGGGAGGGGAATTGTCCGGATACCACCCATTACATGCCGAATTTGCAACTTATTAAAAAAGGTATTGCATAGCCATACATATATACATAATGATGTGATGACATTTGCATTATACAAGTATAGCATAAAGCCTTGCAAAATGTTAACATTACACTTTAAGCATGCCAATGAAAAAGTGATACTTTTTTAATGTAAACAATTCTTATTTTGGACATGTGATAAAGTTTATATATTAAATTTGTGTAGCTTCAGTATAAAATTTATTTAACTTGTTGAATAAAAAAATATTGTGCACGCTAGAGGCTCGCATAATATGATTTTTGTGCCCGCTAGAACATAATATGATTTTGTTCAACTTGTTCAATAATTCAATATTGAATCATCCCTCATTCAATAGTCTCTATTTATGGAACAAATATAATGGAAAAAAGTTTAATATGTTCATGAAAAAATGAAAATCTTTCACTTCTATGAGATATATTTCATATCAAAATGAAATACAATTTTTCAAATTTTACAAGCATTTAATTAATAAGAACATACAAGAAAAGTTACATGTAAAGCATACCAGATTTAGGGTTTCGATTTCCTAGGATGACCTGTGGAGAATATGGCTTCTCATATAACACACACAACTGCATATCTCTGTCAAACTTAAAGTCATCACCAATTACCACCTGTAAATAAATACATGTATCACTTTTAAGTGGTGGCACGGCTGAGTGGTTACGTGTCGGACTAGTAATCTAATGATCCCAAAGCTGCATGGGTTCAAACCCCGTCAGGGGCATGTGGTTGATTCTTTGAGCAAGAACCTTTACACTCATTACACAGTACTGGCTGGTTCAAGGAATGGATTCAAAAGTGTGTCTATAAGCTAATGGCTTCCACCCAATCATACTAAAATAAATTCTGTAGGAACAAAATAAATACTGTACATTAACAGTGTTTAGTTATCACTCCAAAGTTGTCATAGTAATTGATTAATTGTTCAAGAAAACATTTGTATAGATCTTTCTCCAGCCCTACTTTCATTTTCTGATTTATTATTGAATTTCATTTAATTGTACTTAGAAAATTGTAAAAAGAGCAAATATTCATTCATGATGCATGATTAAAGGAAATACATTTACACAAGCTAGAATTCTGCATATAGTAAATAAATTCCGAATATACATGTATTTGTACAAGTACTTCATTTTATAAACAAGATAAATTATGAAGAAATGTCAAATACAAATCACTACTTCAAAAACTAGTTTCCCATTAAACATTAAGTATTTGAGACATTGGTGCCATTTTAAGTATTGCAGTCAGTCCAGGTGTCAGGGCCTAGGACATTAATATGGGACTCCACTGACGTTTTATGAAATGAAGAAAAATTCAGGATATTTGTATAACTGGATGTAGGTCTTGACAAATAACTTGTGTACAAAATTTCTGATCATTCGTTGCAAGGCCTTTCACTCAAACAGGCCAAAAACAGCATAAAATTGATTATCAATTAAATTCCGATTATTTATATTTATTACATGCTTTTCGGTGGTTTATAGAAATATATCAGTGATATAAAACTGGTAATTTCACTGTTTGAAACAGTGAAATTACCACTTTGATAATTTCACTGTTTTGAATTTAAGCCCCTTTTGTTGTTTCAGTAAAATACCAGCGTGCACAGTAATGGGTACCAACTTAATGACGTGACGTCGTAAATGACGTCACGTTGTATTATTATTTGGTGCGCTTTTCATTCAGTATTATACTGTTCTCCTTTTAGCTCGGTTTAATGTCTTTTTAAAACGTTTCTTTGCATATAATAAAAAGAAAATTTGTTTAGTTTAGTGTAAGATCGAAATATATTTCACCTTGTGAACACCAAAAGTTCATATTTCACTCGTGGCTGCACCACTCGTGAAATATACCTTTGGTGCCCACTCGGTGAAATATATTCCGATCTTACACTGAACTAAACAAATATCCTCTATAAATATTATCTATTGCATCATTTTTAATTCCTAGTGGACCAGTTGATTTATAAAACAATTTAATATTAAATTATTTTACGCTATTAGACCTCATTGGAGTTCCTTTATTGACCTGCTTCTGATGATACTTGCATTTTGCTTAATGCCTTTGGTCTAAAGTATAACCGTATAATGAAAATCATTCCCATTGCAGGCAATGAATCCATGCTGTTTTCACCACAACTAACTTCATAATAATTGAGCCACGTCATGACAAAACCAACATAGTGCGTTTGCGACCAGCATGGATCCAGACCAGCCTGCTCGTCCACACAGTCTGATCAGGATCCTTGCTGTTCGCTATCATTTTCTCTACTTGTTATAGGGTTGGTAAGCGAACAGCATGGATGATGGACCTGATCAGACTGCTCGGACGCGCAGGCTGGTCTGGATCCATGCTGGTCGCCAACGCACTATATTGGTTTTGTCGTGACGCGGCTCATATATGTAAATCTATTCACCCACCTTTGCTATCTTGTTGTCTTCTTCAAATGTAACATTTAACTTTACAGTTTCCGAAGTCACTGAGGTAACTTTATGGTAAGCTTTCACTGTGGCTGTCATACTGAACTTATATGGAACCTTGGATGGAGCAACATTTTTGTCATTTTTACCAGCTTTTTTATCTCCCTTATCTATAATATAAACAAGAGTTATTGTTCCTTTAACATTACAGATTAAAACGCAAAAGAATATACTAATAAAAGTGTTACAGATTTCGAAAAAAAATCTTCTTTTTTTTTATGTTGTTGAAATTTCAGATATGTCAATTCTATTAAATTTGTAATGGAAAATAAAATACAAAATGAATAAAGACAAATAAATCCTTTAAAACAGGATGCTTCAAGTCTCATGATAATTTTTATAAAATATAGCTGAAGCTTTCAGTGAGGTGAACTACTTTTTCTCATAACTTTATAATCCACACAACTATGTAAATGACTCCAAGACTCAAAACTATTGAGTGTTTGTGTTAACAAAATAAATATTATCTAGATTTTGAAATATCTGATGTTAATAATGGACTGTTACAAATACAAAACAGGGCTTATGCCATTTCATACACCTAGCAAGATATAGGGTAAGATTTACCTGAAGAGTATCTTGGATTAAGAACTGTAGGAAGTGTGAACCTGAGCTGACCGTCAGGCTCTTGTGGTAACTCTGTCACATATTTCAACACAAGTGAAGCCTCACTTTTAGCTGGAACATCTCCCAGCATGCAACTGAAGACACCATCTGAGGATTTGTCTCCCTTGTATATCATGGCTGCTGTTCCATGATTTATTGCATCTTCCTTTGTCAAATGTGCCTGTAGTGGTGTAAAAAATATGTCAGCTCACTGACACTTTATGCAAAGGAATGTAATATATTTCTAGCAAGAATTTAACATAGGTCAATGTGAGCTGGCAGGTAGGATTCATGAAGGTGAATTTACAACAAAGTTTGAAAATCCTATTTCAATGCACTTTGATTTAATACCCACTTTTATGTTTCTCCATGACCTTTTGACCTGTACAAGGGTAGGGCAGGTAGAACTCAAAGAAGTTCATCCACATAGTTCCAGTCAATGTACTTAGACTGAATGGCCACTTTTATGTTTAATTTTAACAGGTCCAAGTAACTTCACCTTTGACCTTAAAAAAGGATTTGGAAGGTAAAATCCATCAAGATGCATCCACATTCAAAGTTTGAAGTTTCTATGCAATGCACTTAGACTAATTGGCCACTTGATTCCTTTTTATAGATCCAAGTGACCATGACCTTGTGAACTGAAAATGAATGTTGCTGATAGAACTTATCAAGGTTCATTTACATTACAATGTTTGAAGCTCTCAGGCCAAAATACTTTATTTAATGGCTAGTTTTTTGTTTTGTTATTACAGACCCAAGGGAGCGGTGGCCTAGTGGTTAAGGTGTCTGCCTCTCAACCCAGAGATCACGGGTTCCAGTCCTACTCTGGTCATGACCATGTCTCTTCATATGACACCAGTACTGGCTGGTTCCAGGAAGCAGACTAGAAAGTGATTAATAGAAGTTGCAAGAACTTGTTTCACGATAAAGCTTAAATAAATATGTTTAAACCAACTGACATTTTGACCTGAAAGTGGGTGTGGAGAGTAAAACTCACCCAAATAGCATATCCAAATATAAAGTTTTAATGTAACAGCATTCTTAGTATTGAAGTTTATGATGATAAAAATATTAAAACAAATTAAAATTAAGCAACATCACTGACACCATGTGGGTCATGACTAAAGCTAAACAAGAGCTGTCAGTTCCACACTTTTGAAGATTGACTTGCATGGGAAACTTACTCTAACAATTTTCTAAGTTTACAAAGGGCCATAATTCTGTCAAAATCCATATTAAAGTTATGGGCCTGGGATAATGACCTTTTATGATCTCAAGTAAGTGTGTGGAAGATACAAACAAATATTCTCAGTGACTGATGAAAAATAATTTGGTACAGGAAGTTGCTCATCAAAAGCTAACCAAAGCACGGATGAATAGGATAGCTACATTATTTGTCGAAGCTAAAATTTATTAAAATCATTTAAGGTCAAGCCTAAAAATGCACTATCTGATGATTTATTTTATATATTCGGAGATTTTTTTAAACAAGAGCATGCCATTAACTTCTCACAAGAGAACATGAGCATAAATCCAGTCTGAAGTTTCAGTATATTTATAACTTTATTAAGAATTACCTCAGGCTTTCTTTGAACAGATGTAACGATGTGCTGTCCACCAATATCAGCTTCAAGCTGGTATGCTGTGTTATTTTCATCTTCAGGCATTGTGAACACTGATGAAACAGGTGTTTTTCCTTCATTACAGTAAGTCAAACATGATGTAACTTCAGCGACATGACCAACAATATTTACATCAACTTTGACAGATTTGATTTGAACTAAAAAGAAATAGTGAAATACATGTAAAGGTTATGTAAGTACAAATTAACAGAGAGGAAGATATCATAAAATGTACATGACATGATAATGAATCTTCGATATTGTTCAAATAATTTTGAAAATTCACAAAGGGCCATAATTCTGTCAAAATACATGTCAGAGTTATGGACCTAAGAGACCTTGATAAATGATCTTGAAGACAATTATTAAGTTTCAAATGAATACCTGCAGTAGTTTTGAAGATTGAAATTTCATGCAAAACTTTAACTCACAAAATAACATAACAAAATCTTTTATAGTTCAAGAAGGACCATAATTCTGTCAAAATCCATGCTAATGTCATGGACTTTTCATGACTTTGGATACATGTAGTAATCTCAAATAAATGTGGGAAGAAACAAGCATACAAGATGTTGCATGTAAAACTTTACTCTGATGCCATTAATCTTAAAGACAGAAGAACACAGATGACCAGGCTCTACAGGATTGAAATCAACCTCGTTGACATGTACATCTGTTCGGTTTGTTTTCAATTTCCAAATGGTTAACTCAATAACTAGATATTTAATTCCTTTAATTTAGTTTTTCATTCCCTACTAGTCTACATAAAAACTAGACAAAAAACTTTGAGATAAATAGCTGATAACAACATCATTTGCATCATTGAAATTATTATAATGGCTTTTTGCGACGGACGCGCCCTCAGGTGCGTTCAGAGCTAAGTCATCTACACATGGGATTTCGTCGGCTACAATCGCGCAAAGTGTCCTAAACCGATTAACAGCCCAAGAAATAGTACATGAATTTGATCCTTTAAACTCCCATACTTTGTCGGGATATCTTAAAATCTTCCATATTTAGCCTTTTCAATTTCAAATTAGGTTATCCAAGTTAAAATATGAACGTATATTATTGATTAAAATGTTGTAGTCCCGTAGTATTATTGCGCAATATGCAAATTACTGCCGAAACGATTTACCGCTGTCGAAAAAGTAGGACAGCAAATTATACTACAATAAAGGTGTAAGCTCTGAGTTCCAAGACATTATTAGTAGGAAATAAATATTTCTACTTTATACAAAACATTATTATTAACAAATCAAAAGTTTTTCGTGACTCTAGGATAACTCGCGCATTAATAAAAGAAGAACTATTTTCGTGACTCATACCGCGGGTTTAGCTGAATATTCAGCAGTTATTAATAAATTAGATACAGTACAATGGTTAGTATTTTGAAAATGCATGTAAGAAGAGAGTTTTTCAACACTTTACCACCATGTAGTCTTTCATGGTCAGGAAGTTATAATATCAGTTCTACTTCCGATTCTTGTGGTTTGTTTACATATTTTTCTAGGTCACGTTATTCTAAAAATAGATTCTGCTTCACCTGGCCTGATTTTTGGACAGGCGATTAGGGAGTACACATTATACATGTAATAAACCAGCGGATTACATGCAATACTTTAAGAAATTCTATACAATTGTAAGAAGCAAACAAGTTGAAAATGGAATTTAGTGTGAAATTGAAAAGGACAACTAAACACTGTAGTGCTTAAGTGACATTTAAATTAAAATAAAAACGATGTGCTCTGGCCTCTTCATCTTTACCTTGTAAATAAAAAAAAATCTAAAAAATACACTATGTATAGGTTAGTGTTTAATAATATGTATTAACAAAAATAATTGGTCAAGCATGCCGCAGGCAGGCGACCAATTATTTTTGTTAATGATCAGCATAATTTTTTGTCCAATCACATTGTAGTATTTTTCAAATTTCTGCTAAGTCTAACTTTGGTTAATGTGTACTAACTAAATAAAATTTACTTAATCTGTCGTCTAACCAGTCTAACAAATTTCAATAATGCATTATATTAGGGAGGAGTTAGAGGTGTGGTTTGCACTCTGAATTGGAAAATATAAAGGTTAGCAAAACAATGCCAACGTAAAAATAATAAGGCTTTCTAAATGTGAGGATACAATCAAATGATTTATTACATAGATAATACATGTGGGGCACGCAGAGACAAATGATTACATAGTAACTTATTTATATTTTAACTCTAAGAAAAATGTCTGTTATAAATTGCTGACTGTTTTAACTTTATATTTTCTAGAAAAAGTAACCAAAAAAAAAATTATTTTCTTTCACTTGATAGGAATGAACTGCATTAACAATAAAATGAAATTAAGAATACAATGATTACATTTTGGCTGGAAAACTCATTGTAAACTGACCCCTCCACCTGATAGTCCAAATGTTCGACTATTTCCGTAAAGCTTAATCAATGAAAATGCTATTTTTAGCTATGTCGATTACCGAATACTCCAGAGCGTAGTACACAAATAAATCTGACTGTCGAGTAATGGAATATATACATGTCGGACTGTTTTGGCGAGAAGATTTTCGCTAAATTATTTTCATCAGTGTTTAACAACAGGTTTATCGTGAACAAAATACCTCGATATTAATAAGGATTACAAATACGAAATGAAAATTCTCAATTTTAGAATTACAATATACTTGTTTTTTTTCACGCTAAATACGTATTACTTCACTGTGGTGCAGAGGTAGCGCCCTCGTTTAGGGTGTGAGAGGCCTAAGGTTAAAATCCTTGTCGAGGCAACATTTTTTTTAAGTGTCTTTTTTAAGGAAGTTGCCACGATATGCAAGGATAAAGTGTGGCTGTAATAAAAAATGAAAAATGGTTTTTGATGCAACTCTAAGCATGCAAAATTCCATATGTATCAATCACAAACTGTTAAACGCAGTCGCTGCGTAAGATGAATAATAGTATATAAAAATAAACTTATACAGGAAAGATCAGAAAATACCACAGAGCATGCAGCCCTTTGATTTTTTATGTTGGCATTGTCTTTCTAACCTTGATATTTTACAATTCAGAGTGTAAACCATACCTCTAACTCCTCCCTAATATAATGCATTATTGAAATTTGTTAGACTGGTTAGACGACAGATTAAGTGAATTTTATTTAGTAAGTACACATTAACCAAAGTTAGACTAAGCAGAAATTTGAAAAATACTACAATGTGATTGGACAAAAAATAATGCTGATCATTAATAATTGCTGATGATTTTAACTAAAACTTTTTTAATGAGACATATCCAAGAGAAATAAAAATACAAATGAGTTATATTTTATTGTCTATATGCCCACTATGATATAACACGAAGCAATTCTAAATAGCATTCTCAAATGTATAATGTATTATGCTTGAAGTTTATTTGCATGGTTTTATTTTAGAAATATTTCGTTGACAGTATTTTTTTTCTCTTTTTACATATCATTTCTTGGAATAAATCGATAAGGACACTGATATACAAGTTTGACCAGAGATTTTAGGCATAAATTTCATTCTGTATTTAAGTGCTTGAAAGTAGAAAATCTGAATTATACCAGTTTGGGACACAAAATATATTGCTCTACAAATCTCGAACTTGTATGGAACAAATTTTCTCTGTTATATATTTTGTGTTTTGTTTTTTTTTTTCTAAAAAAGCCTTAATGTCTCTCCGGTTGCATGTCCGTCGCATTCAGTGCTGCAGCACTTTGATTTATTATGCGGCCACATATACAAGTGTCCAATTGATGCTCCTATCCGAATCACACTACATTTGGTACAAATTAGCGATTAATTAGGCTTTCAACTTACATGGTTCTCCTTTAATCGACTTAAAACCGAACGGTGATTTATCAGGGACATCTCTTTTAGCTATCGTTTCACTTTTCCTGGTACTCATTGCGATATAATTATGGAATATCGAACAGTGTTAAAACAAATATTAGACAGTTTGTTTACATGTATCCGGGCTATTTTTCCGGACGAATGATCATTTTGTCGTTGTGGTCTCGACTGTGCCCTATCACATACACTTGGGATGTGGGGCTCAAAATACGCTAAAATCAAAATAAATTGTATGGTGTATTATTATAGACGTTGAAATATGATATTTTTTTTCAAAACAGCTTGTATTAAGATTTTTTTTATACATATATGCTGGAATTGACACAAATACAATTTAACTTTGAGCTCCACACCCCAAGTGACTGTGTACAATATAAAATATGCTATTTATAGTTCATTCAGATTGATATATTCATTCTGCAAAACTATTTCTAATATCTTAGTCAAGCCTTACCTGGTTCAGTTCAGTACATCTGTTCAGTTTGTTTTCGAGTTCGAAACGGTTAACTGGGTAAAAAAATGAGGTAATGACAACATTTTCAACATTGAAATTATTATATGGGCTTTTTATTATCTGCTTCTTATACTTTTATCAGAGAAGATGGCCTTCAATAACGCACATAGTTATATATGTAATTTAAGTCTCTGATGAAACAAATATAGTTTAAAGCCGTAACAATCATCATCCCCACCCTTTTTACAATTGAAAAATCTTAAGTTTTTACTGTTTTGTGCGCTTTTTCCCTTATATGTATATTTTCCATCGGATTGCTAAGCATCTTTATTTTTAACGATAATTGCTGCATAAAGAAGAAGCTGTGGAAAAACAGAATGTTAAAAAATAACAATTGCCTTCACAGAAAATTGTTTCATTAGGAACACTGCAACAAAATCATTCAGTAAATAAATGGCATTTCTAAACAACTGTCTTTACGCATTCATGCAACAGTAAGCTTGGCAGAATGGATTTTTTTTTTCAAGTAAACAACATATTTCATTATAATTGTTAATAATTAATATTAATGAATTTTTTTTTGGAAAAAGCCTAAATGAACGCAATGTCGATCTATATCATTATGATATAGGGCAGTTTATCTGTTTTTCCAGGTTAACTTGGCTGATCAACCCTAATAATTTTTATGTATACATGTATATTTAGTTTTCAATATTGATGAGGCTTACTACAGTTATCCTCTATCTTTCCTTTTCCTTATTTTAGTTTATTTATTTTGTTTAAATGAACTGTAATATGCCCAAAATGCCAAATAGAAAGAAAAGAACAATAGGAAGATCACAATAATATAAAGCGTGTGCATGAAGCGTAACATATTAGATCTACACAGGTTGTTTGTATTTTTACTTTTGTCAATATAAAAGACGTTTCAATTATTTCAACACTATAAATTGTGTAACTTTTGAGCTTCAAGTAGAAAACTTTTTGTCCATAATGTAAGAAAGTGTAGCAATTGGACGATTATATACATATATTTACAAGTTTAAAAATGGCGCCAAAACTTTGGCCCGGGAACATTTCGAACTCTTGGCGCGGGGCCTTTTGGCGGGAAATTTTCTGACAGTCCATGCTGCCCGAAGTGGTGTCCGGAATTACTATTAACGGATGCATTTATTCATTATAGACTATCTAAGTATGTGCAGTTTTGTAAATGATTTTTGTCTGTTGACAAACAAGGTGTGTATCAACCGAGCATGGAAATGCATTTACCTTATGTCCCAGCCTTTGTAAATATCTGTGTTTTATGTTTCGAGTTGTCAAAACTTTGAGAACTTAACGTGCATGACACATATTGTGTTCCACATTTACTTTTTCAGTACAAACATAATTTTGCTTGATGTGTTACCCTGTTAAAATTGTTAAGATTGACGGACTTCTCCTGTTTCCTGTGTTCGAGCTGAATATGTCCATTGCTACACAAAAATGAACAGTGACTGTGGCGGGTTGACATAATTTGCTATTGTGTCTGCTTCATCTACTTCAAATATTTCAAAATTCAGTTTTCTGCTCGACATGTTACCATTTTATCACAACATTGGATCAAGGACACACGGTTGTCCACCCTGTTGCGCCAAAGCAGTAAAAACATATCTACACATATCTTCGATTAAAAATTAGGAAGTATGTTATGCAGCTGAACTGTAGAACATTGCTAATAAAGTAAAGATGGAAAGGAAGGAAAGCATTTAATACAAAGAAACTATGCAATACCATGAAAATTATGATCAAATACATGTAGCAAATAGCATAAAGTACATGTAACTCTGAATCTATAAAAGACATATGTAAATTGCAAATTGTGTGCTGTGGTGATCTTAAAACATGCATTTATCACCTACTATTTCTTTGCTATTAATACTGCCTGATGATATGAACATCTGTACTGTACAAGAATTATGTCAGCATGTCATCCTTATGATCCGACTTTTCACTATAGCCTGATGATATGAACATCTGTACTGTACAAGAATTATGTCAGCATGTCATCCTTATGATCCGACTTTTCACTATAGCCTGATGATATGAACATCTGTACTTTACAAGAATTATGTCAGCATGTCATCCTTATCATCCGACTTTTCACTATAGCCTGATGATATGAACATCTGTACTTTACAAGAATTATGTCAGCATGTCATCCTCATGATCCGACTTTTCACTATAGCCTGATTATATGAACATCTGTACTGTACAAGAATTATGTCAGCATGTCATCCTTATCATCCAACTTTTCACTATAGCCTGATGATATGAACATCTGTACTGTACAAGAATAATATGTCAGCATGTCATCCTTATGATCCAACTTTTCACTATAGCCTGATGATATGAACATCTGTACTTTACAAGAATTATGTCAGCATGTCATCCTTATGATCCAACTTTTCACTATAGCCTAATGATATGAACATCTGTACTGTACAAAAATTATGTCAGCATGTCATCCTTATCATCCAACTTTTCACTATAGCCTGATGATATGAACATCTGTACTTTACATGTCAGAACTTATAAAAAACTTCCCAATGCAAAAATAAATCATCATCAAATTTACAAATCATTTATATTTCTACTAATGTTTGCAAGTTCACCAGCTAATCAGCCCACAATGATTTTATTGTCTGCTGAATAATGTCGTCTGCTGACAAGGTAGGATTCTGTGACGTCAGCCATGATAATGTTTTAGATTGAATGATCTGCCACTCATCTTGTCTATGGAGAAACCATTTCTGTAGCCAACTAAGAACAACAACTGTACAGGTAACACAGGGGTCCTGAAGTAAAATCACTACAACACATTATTTACATGACAGAATAATGGTAAATAGAACACTTAAGTACAAAAGTGATAATTACATTCTATGTTTACCTGTTTTATAGCATGGAGCTAAAATGTTGAGCTTGCCCGGAAGCTTTGAACATTCTTATACATGATGTTTAAACAAAATCATAATTTACAAACAAAATGTCATTTTGGGAGTTGGCTTGTAAAACACTGTACTGAAGGTCAAACAATTTAAGGTTTTTTTGTTGTTGCTAGCTTGACTGGTGAAGTAGCCTCTTTGCATATTAAATCTGGATACATTTCATAATTCAGCATTCCTACATATAAGTTTTCAATATCTTAACACCAATTAAACCTACAACCTTGACTGACAAGTGACTCAAAGAAAGGCACATTGATCATTTAGCTTATACAGCAAACATGTCATAAGCACAATAAGTTTGTATGCACTTACATCTGAAACAGTAAGTTTAATCAAGTTTTCTTCAGTGACACCAAGGGTGTTAAGTAGTTTCTCAGATGAAATCCATTGTCCGTCTAATTGTTGTAATGAGATCACTGTCAACATATCATCATCTGAAAATTGTACATGTAAAGAAGTTGTCCTGTAAATTTTTTTTTCTGTCATTAAAATTTCATTTACATCACAAACTAAAGAGTTATATTTTGTATGCTATTTTTCATAAAAGAAATACAGTGATTGAATTTTATTTAGTAAAAGTCAAGTGCATTCTAATGATCTACATCCTAAACAAGAATCCTCTTCATCTTGTTGCAATTGGCCAAAAGGTTAAACCAATCAATGTTTGTTTAAAACCAATTTATTTCATACTGACTTTATAAAATTTCATTGAACAATTTAGTATTTACATATAAAATATCAAACTTCTCCTTACATTAATTAATACTATTTTATTCAGATAATTCACACATGTCGTCTATACTAAAGTAATTACAAACCTGATGGAAGATTTCTAGTTTGAGCATTATTATCAGAAATGTCCATCTTTAACATACTGCTTGATATTTGTGCATAGTCTTCATCTGATGCTGCCCCAGCTTGTTCTGAAACACAAAAATTGTTATTTGCTTTTATTGTTTCAGCTTAAAAAAATAATAAACAGACACAGTGCTATTTAATAACTGATTTGAGCCGCGTCATGACAAAACCAACATAATGGGTTTGCGACCAGCATGGATCCAGACCAGCCTACGCATCCACACAGTCTGATCAGGATCCATGCTGTTCGCTATCAGTGTCTCTACTTGTTATAGGGTTTGTAAGCAAACAGTATGGATCCTGATCAGACTGTGCGAATGCGCAGGCTGGTCTGGATCCATGCTGGTCGCAAACCCATTATATTGGTTTTGTCATGACGCGGCTCATTTATATCGGAGCTTATCACTTTTTGTTGGACCAGCAGGAGATGACTAAACTCATTATCTTAAAATTACCAGGTTATAACAATTTACCTCTGTGTATCTGATCAACAAATAACTGCTATCTTAACACTATATTCGTAAAGTCAATGACTCTAAGACTTGATTTATATACAACTTTATTTGTCATGCTATTAAACCAACTTTTAACAAATGTGTGTATTAAAGCCATCTTTTCTGAGCATTTGTGATTCACTTACACCAGTCATATGCACTATTTAAAGGGACTCCACTGAGGTTTTTTTGACATGACGAAAATTGGAAATAATTTTTCGAGATTAATGTTTAGTTTGATGTAGGTCTAAATCAGTAACTTGTGTGCAAAATTTTAGATCATTCACTCTTGCGGTTTATCCAGAATAATTATTCAAATTGTGAAAAATGACCCAAAATGGAAAAGCGTTTAAACGCTTTTAACTCAAATCGCATCAAAAATAGCACAAAAATACGCTTTTCTGTTCATTTTTTAGTATATTTCTGAATTATTTTATACATGTCTTCCTGTATTACGTGCCCCAGCTGATCTGTGTAAAAAAATAAATTATATGATTTTAGCTTTTTGAACCTCAGTGGAGTTCCTTTAAAATCTACTTATATCACAAGGGTAGTGGTGCCCTTGTGGTAAAGGTGTCTGCCACTTAACCCAGGGATCATGAGTTTGTATCCTACTCCTGTCACTACCGTGTTTCCTAATATGACATCAGTTTTGGTTAGTTCCAGGTAGTCACAAAAGTGATAAATATAAGTAGCAAGACCTTTTTCTACTATCATTCGTTAATAAACAAACTAAGGTTATCAAGTAAACAAGAGATCACCAAAATTTTTATAACTTCAAAAGTAACATAAAATACACCAGTTATGATTGATTTGATTCTACTTCTTACGATGTCTTTCAGGACGAACATTGTCTTTCCTTTGCCTTCTGTTTGAAAATAACTGTGAAAATTTAGGCAGTTTAATTTTACAGCATGACAACTTTGCCCTTCTCCGGGAATGGCGGTCAAACCGAGAGCCAGAGCCATCTTTAACCCACTTTTCCTCATCTTCATCTAACATTCGCTGATGCTTTTTTGTCAATTTCTATATTAAAATATAAAGTACATGTAAAAATATAAAACATATTTTGTTTCTTCTTTTTGTGGTAGGGTCTTAAGATTCCTTTCTTTATAAAGCTAAATTTAGATCTCTTTGTAGATAGAAAAAGACCACATGTGCATCTATGATCTATGAAGAATATCAAATAAGTTTTCAGCCACATAGGACATACATGACTGGTAGTTCAAAATACATGTGTATTACATTATAAAATATGTTACTTTAGCAAGGAATGTATAATTTATTTCAATTACATGTAATTCCAATGTATTCCTCCATGCAACATGAATCTACAAAAGGTATTTACAGAGATTCAACTATACCAAAAAGAGAAATGAAAAGGGTTTTTCATAATTTTTTCCCTTTTTCAAAAAGGTAACTATAGCCCTTTAAAAAAAGTGGGTCTAGGACTGTGTACCCGGCTATTCCAGTGCTTGATAGTAAAAAAACAAAAGTTTAATAAGGGCCCTAATTTTTAAAAAACCCTGTTAGAGATATGATCATTGGGGTGGGGACATCCCATTTTTTCTCTCAAGTAATTGGGGGGGTTCAACCCCTTACCCCTTTAGAAGTTTTGGAAATACCTACTTAGCTCTCCTTATTCTTCAAATATTCCAGCTAATTACAGATATAATTTTCCAATTACAACTAGAACTATCACTAAATGTGATTAATACCCCCACAAGACTGCTTCTGAAATGAGGATGTTACTTGTAACAGAATACCTTGTAAAAGAATTGAAATATAGAGTTATGGTTGTGGGCAATTAAAGATAATTGTGGTTCTTATATGTTGCATTTCCTTTCAATGTGGTTGGCCATTGATGAAGTTTAATTGAATTACTCTGTAATAAGTCCAGAAAGACAAAGAAAAGGGAACAAAGGGCAATAACTCTATAAATACTGAAGATAGAGTTATAGTTCTTGTGCACTGCACTTCCTCTTATTGTGCTTGACCATTGTATGAAGTTGTTTTTGAATTCCAACCAGTATGTTTTAAGTTATGCTCCTGACAAGGAAAAGCATCAAAGGGCAGTAACTCTGTATTTTGTCAAAATGGAGTTATGGCTCTTGTGCACTGCACTTCCTTTTAATGTCCTTGACAACTGTATGAAGTTGTATTGAATTCCAAACAGTAGTTTTTCAAGTTATGCTCTGGACACGGAAAAGTAACAAAGGGCAATAACTCTGTAATTAGTCAAGATGGAGTTATGGTTCTTGTGCACTGCACTTTCTCTCAATGTGCTTGACCATTGTATGAAGTTATATTGAATTCCAACCATTAGTCTTCAAGTTATGGTCCGGACAAAAAAGGCAATGGAAAAGCAACAAAGGGCAATAACTCTGTAATTACTTTAGATAGAGTTATGGTTCTTGTGCACTGCACTTCCCCTTATTGTGTTTGACAATTGTATGAAGTTGTTTTGAATTCCAACCAGTAGTTTTCAAGTTATGCCCCGGACAAGGAAAAGTAACAAAGGGCAATAACTCTGTAATTAGTCAAGATAGAGTTATGGTTCTTACGCACTGCACTTCCTCTCAATGTGCTTGACCATTATATATAGTTATATTGAATTCAAACTATAAGTCTTAAAGTTATGGTCCGGACACAAAAAAAGCAATGGAAAAGCAACAAAGGGCAATAACTCTGTAATTACTTTAGATAGAGTTATGGTTCTTGTGCACTGCACTTTCCCTTATTGTGTTTGGCAATTGTATGAAGTTGTTTTGAATTCCAACCAGTAGTTTTCAAGTTATGCCCCGGACAAGGAAAAGTAACAAAGGGCAATAACTCTGTAATTAGTCAAGATGGAGTTATGGTTCTTGTGCACTGCACTTCCTCTCAATGTGCTTGACCATTGTTTGTAGTTATATTGAATTCAAACATTTAGTCTTCAAGTTATGGTCCGGACAAAAAAAAGCAATGGAAAAGCAACAAAGGGCAATAACTCTGTAATTACTTTAGGTAGAGTTATGGTTCTTGTGCACTGCACTTCCCCTTATTGTGTTTGACAATTGTATGAAGTTGTTATGAATTCCAACCAGTAGTTTTCAAGTTATGCCCCGGACAAGGAAAAGTAACAAAGGGCAATAACTCTGTAATTAGTCAAGATAGAGTTATGGTTCTTGTGCACTGCACTTCCTCTCAATGTGCTTGACCATTGTATGTAGTTATATTGAATTCCAACCATTAGTCTTCAAGTTATGCTCCGGACAAGGAAAATGCAATGGATGTCTGGACCGACCGACCGACCGACCGACCGCCCGACCGACCGACCGACCACCGGGTGACTCCTATATACCCCCCCAAACTTCGTTTTTGGGGGTATAAATATATGTCACAAAAAGCCAATATCATATTTTGTGATAAATGATGAAAACAATGTAAGAAATCTTACCATACGCTGTACACAGGTTTTTCTTATTGCTGCCGAGTACAGGCTTTGGTCTGTAACTCCTGTATGAAAAGTAAAGATCATTTTCAAACAAAATGAAAATGTCTTAAATAGGGCATAACTTTTGAAAACATATTTCCAGGGTTATCTGCCTTTATGATAGGATATCACATTTTAATAATGAGCAAACATACCAATTTAGAAGTGAATAGCTAGTGAATACATGTAGCTTTGATAGTTTCTGAAAAACAGACCTTAACAAAATGAAAATGTTATACCAATGCCAACATAAACTTCGAAGTAAACAAATGGGTCATGGCAATAGCTTTAACTTTTTTGTTTTGCAAAATTGAATTTGCAGAACAAGACATAACAACTGAATTTACATATGCTCAACAAAACAGAAATATAACATAATAAAGTTTTACAAAAGAGGTCTACAATAATATTATAACAAGGTAAAGTTCACAGAAGAGGAATTTACACACCTTCCTTCATTAATTTAGCATCATACATGCCATCCCTATATTCTACAGTGTTCATTGGTACTGGGCACTTCCTTGTCTTCTTGTCACCAATCACCTTTTTACCTTTGGTATCTATGGCAACAAAGGCTGTATACCTTGACACAACATTGCCTAGACAACTTAAACTGAATATCCTCACACAAAGTTCTTCCACTTCAATTGGATTCAAAATTGAAACATCTAAAAATAAATATTCTACAAAGATTAAACACATGTTAATGCTACGAGAAATAACATGTTTTTATATTTGTTTAGTTTTAGGTCATACCTAAACTAGTAAGGTAAAGAAATGACTTTATATTCTAGGAAGAGGAGAAATACCATAGGTTCCCTATCTAGCACTAATACATTATCATAAAGCTTCAATAACGTAATAGTTTCATAAAATAACAGAATTCATCATCATTATGGAGATATGAAGCCTGAAAAATAAGAAGGCTCCCACATAAATTATTAAATAGTTATAAATTCACCTCCAACAACAATATCTAAATTTGAAGTATTTTTAACATATTCACATATTTGACAATTCAATTAAAGCTCATCATAAATAAAAAAATCTCGCCTGCATTTACTGTATCCTGCAGAAGTTTGATTTGAGCTTTTGTTGCTAGCCGATGAATAGGTGCAGATGTACTTAAATCATTTGTATTTTGCAAGGTGAAGGTCATTTTATACGAGACTGGATTTCCACTTTGTTGACCATTCAATGTTACTGACCCAGATACATTGTTGTGCTGACAAAATAAATATAAGCAATAAATGAATAAAAACTACTTATTCAGCAGTTCTACTGTATATTACCTTTCAAAAACACAATAAAAAATAAAACATTACATTATCACTCTTTTAATCAACTTGTTTAAAAGTTTTTAAAAAACTTATCCATGTTATTTGATAAAAATGTTTGGGCATTTCAATGAAACATATGCATTGCATCTTTTTTCTGTTATCATGATTAATTACAGTATAGAAGTTTCAGAGTATAATTACTATGAACATACATTAGCACAATATCCTCGAAGTATTGTAAACAAGGTGAGTCTTTCTCCAGCGTATATGTTAACAGGTGGCTCTGATGGAATGGTAATTGGGGTCAGTCCAGCAGGTAGGTCCCAGTTTATTCTAACATCTGTTATGGCTGGTTGCATGGCATATTTCAACAATGAAATCACCTGTTAAATTAAAGAAATCACTTGTTTAATTAAAGAAATCACTTGTTTAATTAAAGAAATCACCTGTTAAGTTAAAGAAATCACCTGTTTAATTAAAGAAATCACTTGTTTAATTAAAGAAATCACTTGTTTAATTAAAGAAATCACCTGTTAAATTAAAGAAATCACCTGTTAAATTAAAGAAATCACTTGTTTAATTAAAGAAATCACTTGTTTAATTAAAGAAATCACCTGTTAAGTTAAAGAAATCACCTGTTTAATTAAAGAAATCACCTGTTTAATTAAAGAAATCACCTGTTAAATTAAAGAAATCAATTTTTTAATTAAAGAAATCACCTGTTGATTTCAGGATTATTACCTGATAAAGAAACTACCTGCTAATTCCGACATTTAATTAAAGAAATCATCTGTTAATTTAAAGAAAAGCATTAATTATACAACTACCAGCATCAAGTTAATAAGAAGTTTGACCAGGCAATAAGTATAATAGCCCGGGCTAAATATTTTACTGCTTAAACCCGGAAAGCTCCATTTCATTTCTCTAGAAAACTTTACCTTAGAATGGAGTCTTTCCTCCTCCACTACCAATTCAGACTTGCCACCTCCATTATTGGCAATACCTTTAACTAGTGCAGTTGAGGCACCATCACCAATACCAAGAGCAAAAACCCTGTATTTTATAAAGTAAAATGAAAAAGTTAGTTTTTTTTTTTTTTAAAAAATGTTCCTTTTTTGGTTTGTGATTAAGCATAATTTGTACCATTTTTTCACTGCAATACCATAATTTAGTAAAGTCTTCCTGGATTTGCTACCAGTATTTAACATTTTTTCCATATGACTACAACTGCTAAATATATTTGCATATAAATCTATGTAAGTATTCTATACATTTAGCTATAGCTGAAGGCAAACTAAAAATGTTCATATAACAATAGGTGTGCCTGCCTGAATGCTTAAAATGTTAACACTTATCTTGCTGAATTTCTTAAACTTGTCCAGGTTCAATTTTTAGAACTGTTCATTACTATTTATGTGGATATCAATAGGCAAATTTAAAGTTGCTTATTTTGTCTTGTTACACTAAAATATAATTGGTCTGAGTGGTGTTTATGGGCTATTTAACACTGGTTTGTCGTTTTGCCACGAAAAAGTTAACCACTCAGGCCTATGGCTTTAGTGCTCAATTCCTACGCATCAAAACTCCAAACCAGTGTTAAATAGCAGATAAACACCACTGAGACCGATTTTATTTCTCAGGTTTATACCTGGTATCAGAGTTATGTGTATGTGTTTTCACAAGCTGTGTTACACATCTTATATCATCCACTTCTCCATCTGTTAACACAAACACCTGAGTGAACAAAACACAATTCTTACATTCAAATATTAGCAATAGACAATGAATGTGTAAAGATAATAAATACAACACAGTTTAATCCGAAATCCATAGTTTTAGAGCTAATGAAATTTTCAAAACCTTTGTTGTTTATTTTTTATGATACTTTTCAGTACTGTACATAATACATTAAAGAAAATTCAATCTACATAATTATATCTATGTTTAAATGAGGACTTTAAGTATATTGATAAAATGGTGCATGTAAAATCAAAAAGATATTTACCCTGCGAGGATGTCCCTCTATGGGGTCCATATTAAAGACATGGGTCAAAGGTTTCTGTATCTCTGTGCCATACATATCAGCCTCCATGGTTTTCTGTAGTGTAAAAGCTTCATCTAAACTTTCACTACTGTATTTCTTACTTTCCCTGTTACAAAAATAGAAGTCTTTGTAAACATCTTAAAGTATATCCAACCTATGTTAAAGACCATCTCCATGAGAAAACCAGTGAAAGTAAAACTGTCAGTAGTATCCATTATTTAACTATTTACTTTTTGATAAATAATATAGAAATTTGCCAGTTTTAAATTTTGGTTGTCTAGGAAGAAATAATGTTAATGCTATAAAAAATAGTATAATGTAGTCAAATATAATTTGGAATGCTTTATAATTATTTTTCTTACATCAGTCATGTGCATCAGGACATATTATTTTAAAACTCTCTAGTTCATGCAGATTTGACCAGAGTATAAAAACATGATTGAACAGGTTTTATCAGCTTCACCTCCTTAATAAGATCATAATTCTACTGAGATCACTTCTTTCTAAAAATTCCAAGGTCAGTCTACGTAGACACGTTTGAATATATGGTCCAACAAAGCTGCAGAACACATGCTTTTTAACAATCTGTTCAGACAAATTGAAATGTGGTTTCCCTCTATGAGCATTAGTTGTCTAAATGTGAATTCAAGATGCCTTGTATGAAGCATGATTGTCCAGGCCAACATGATTAAAGTACAATTTTAATCCAAATACTTTCAAATAAGAGAGTACCCTAAAATTGGACTGTGCTTTTTCATAAGAAAAGTAAAAGCACATAGGATACTACACAAGTTTGAAGAAATGTGATCAATAGTTTGAGAAATATTGATGAGAAAAAATATTGATATTCTTATTTCAATGAATTTAAAGAAATACAACTTACGTAGGGAAAAGGGAGTTAAAAAATGAACCGAAACTAACAATATTAAAGTAACAATCAGCCGGTAAACTCATCAGGAAAAGTAGCAGAGCCTCTCTAGCACTCTGTATCTTATCTCCCTGCATACTTCCTGAAAAATAGAAAAATATACCATATCTAAAATTTTATTGCCTATATTATAGTTTATCAGTAAATTGATATTTAAGTTTTACATGAAACATATCTTAAATTTAACTAGACCTATCACTGAAGGTGATTAATACCCCAACCAGCAAATTTGAGTTTTTTTGAAAAATACGTGGTCTGAAGAAAAATTTGAACTCAACCTACGGTAAAAGAAGTATCAGCTGTGTACCAAGGTTTTTTTCAATTATTTGACCAACAGGGGTCTTCATATAAGCTTGCTAAACACTAAATTTGATTACAATATCTCATTCCTAACTTTAGTTATTGTCCAGAAACCATTTTTCTATTATTAGTAATGGTGACCTTGACCCCAGGGGGCTAAATGCAATACCAACCAGGGTCTCCACATAATGTTGCTATACACCAAGTTTTATTACAATACCTCGTTCCAAACTCTCTTGTCCTGAAACCATGATGTGGTCAGGATTTGACCTTGTGGATTCGAAGTGTGTTGATTGACCAAAATCTTGGTACCTCTAGCCAAGTAAGTAGTTAGCTGTACATGTTAATACTAAAACTAACAAATTAAACACCTACCTGATCGATCAATAACAAATATGTATTCCCCATTGGTTGCCATGGAAACTTCTTTCAGATCTGGATGGAAGCTTATCATCAACATGTCTTCTTTCAATAAACTCTCTAAAAATGTTAAAAATATATATAGTTCACTCCACTTTAAACAATATCGCTATTAATGATATTTTATCGCCTATATCAAAGCTGTTGCCGCAGTCCTGACTCTTGTTTTCAAATTGGTTGTCACTTGGATATAATGATATCTGGATATAACAATATAAATCAGATAGCAGAGTCTACTGTACATGTAGGTATGAATCCAAATCATCCACAAGAATAGTAATATAGTACATGCACTTAAAATTGCCCCTTTTTACAGTCTTTATTTCAATAAAGCACTTCTACTATAAAACTCTATGAAAATATATATATCTAAATCTTCCTTTTGTACTATGTTTTCTTTTATTTATTCATTATATTTGGATTTTGATCTTGATATTCCTTAAACTATGAATGAACTGTTCTAAATTCAAAGTATGGCAAATCCATTACATAAATCTAGGAGGTTAAGGGTAAAATTTAGCCAATGAATATGTACCTGCTTCAGGATTTCCTTTTTCTAGCACTACCTGTGGACTATATGGACAATCATATTGCACAAGAAAACTTAGGTCATGGTCAAATTTGAACTCTTCACAAAGGTTTACCTGTAAGAAAAAAAGAAATTTTATGTACCCCTTATTATAATATTACATGTACAATCTCCTTACTGTCATAACACATATTTTTTAACAATCTATTTATTTTCATACTTGCATAACTCTTAACATGAACTAACTTATTCAAAACTTGAATAACTTGCATAAATTCATACCTGCCTTAATCAATGAATGTTTAAAATATCATAAGCTGTTATTAACTTATTATCCTTGTATTGAAGTAAATGTTATTTATCATACTTTAAAACAGTGAAATATTCTATTTCATTGAAGAAATATTCATTTTTATAACAAAATGTGAACAAGGATATGATTTTGTGCATATTTTAAAGATTATGATTGGTTTATGCTTGCAAGAAAAAAAAAACACCTCATTTTGGTCCAAATCCTCTGCTTTTTAAAGCAAAATTGGCTGGAAAAATAAGGCATATATAATTATTTTTTTTTTCTTTTTGAATTACTTACTTTACCCATCGTTACCATTACATAGACATACATAGAATTTTTTTGTATCAGTTTCATCTTGCAAAACTATTTGCTCCCTATTAATGAAATTAAATCAGCCTTACCTTTGCAATTTTTCCATTTTCTTCAAGCTGAACATTCAATTTATCTTTATATGACATCACAGAATTAACCCTGTGGTAACCCTTTACTGTAGCTGTCATTCTAAACTCATACGGAATCTTGGAAGGCGGGACATAAGTTGCTCCCTCTGCAGAAACTGTACTACCTACATCTTTATAAAGTCATTTAACTTTTTGAGTTCTTTTTTTATGAAAACTGCATACCAGTTTTATACACTTTATTTTAACACTTGGCATGATTTTCGCTATTCCAAATTCTTTTAAAATTATCATTAAAAAAAGTATGAATCTGAATTGCTGGTATTACTATAATCTCTTACTTTAGTAACACTATATAATAATAAGTAAGTATAGTAAGGACTAATCTTACTGGAGTGGAAACCTTTATTTGTTACCATTAATATGGCTGAATTCTCTAAAACAGTGTTTGACTTTCAAATTTTAGGAAGCAAATGCAAGATAAATTGATTCTCAATTCAGACAGCAATCACAATCTAGTTGATGTTCAGGGTGTAAGCTATGAATAACATCACCTCATTTTATATTGCGTGTATTGTTGTTGATAATGAACAGTTCCATTTGACATGTACAGTAATGTAATCATAAAGGTCAGTGTGTCTAAGTGATTAATTACTAAGCACTTAGTTTATAAAGAATTTACCAAAGTATTTAAGTCTGTTTGTGTAGGAAGCCATTAGCTTATAAACATACCCTCAAATCCATTCCTGGAACCAACCAGTACTGAACAATGAGTGTAAAGTTTCTTGCTCAAGGAAACAGCCCCTTGCTCCTGACAGAATTGAATCTACATGGTTAGGGAGTTTATTAATTAAAAGGTTGTTAGATTTTCAAACATGTATAAGACACAATACAATAAATGTTCATGCACTTTCATAAAAGTTGAAAAATTAAATTAAAAATACATTTAGCTAACATACCAATAATATCTGTATTGCTTATACCATCATAACCCATTGACAAACTGTGTAACTGGTTTTTCTTAGCAACATGTCAAACATTCCCATAGCAACAAGACTAATGTAACACCACATCATTTCTTTAGTAGGAAACTGGTGAAGCATGCAAACAATAAAGTAACATATTTATACATAAAAAAACATACATGTATATACTAATATACATAAAACATATGCAAAACATTGAAAATATTAGCTAAAATTTTCTGTTTTTCTAAGCAATCTTCAAGAGGATTTTAATGAAATTTCAATTTGTAAAAGTTAAAAACATCAGTAACTTATCATGTCCTTTCTTTATTCATACATGTGAACTTTTTTTGATGACAAGAGGGAGATTTTTCTTCAAAAAGAGGGAGATTTTAGAATTTGGAATAAACAAAGAAGAAAGTTCTGATATCAAAAAAAGGGAGATTTCTTTAATTTTTTAAAAATACCCCTTATTTTAAGAAAAACCTTTGAAAATATGGCTACAGAAAGTGGGAGTCTTCCAGTGGGAGTGTTCACATGTATGTTGATTATCTATGTTATTGGCTAGATATAAATATTCTTGCTTTCAATGAAAACTAGTGTTTATGAAAAAAGTATTTAAGAAAATTAACACATTATATAAAGTTTCCATGATTACAGAAATGAAGGATATTATAAGTTACTGATGTTTTACACAAAAAAGTAAAAATTTCATTACATTACACAATCAAACTACATGCATTCTGCAATTATCACATGAATTTCCTTTTAAGGGAAACATAACACTCTTTGATAAGGGTAATAGGAGTAGTCACTTAAAAAAGTATAATACAGCTGTGTAAAACCTTTCTTATTTAATACTACAAATATCCTACAGTTTCATGCATTTATCATATTTATTCTATATTTAGTTCAGTAATACCTGAAGAGTATCTTGGATTAAGAACTGTAGGAAGTGTAAACCTAAATTGACCATCAGTCTCTTGTGGTAACTGTGTCACATATTTCATCACAAGTGTAGCCTCACTTTGGGCTGGCAAATTTCCCAGCATGCAACTGAAGATGTCCCCAGCAGAGGTATCTTCCTTTAATAGTAACGCTGTTTTACCACGTTCAATAGCATCTTGGTATGTCAATTTAGCCTGATAATATACAAAGATAATTGTGCCATGCCATTACAAAACCAACATAATGTGTTTGCGACCAGCATGGATCCAGACCAGTCTGCGCATCCGCACAGTCTGATCAGAATCCATGCTGTTCATTATCAGTTTCTCTACTTGTAATAGGGTTTGTAGGCAAACAGCATGGATCCTGATCAGACTGCATGGATGCGCAGGCTGGTCTGGATCCATACTTGTCGCAAACGCACTATTTTTGGTTTTGTCATGGCAAAGCTCAATTACAGAATTATGAATAACATAATTACACATGTATATGCAATTCATGTTTAATATCCACACATCTTACATTCCATTAAAACTTCTTTAAAAAAAAACCCTTCACCCAGCTTTATTCATTACAATGTAATTGACTTAAATTCAACTAACCCTCTTATAAAAGTGACCTATTTAAGGCATTATTACCCTCTGTCTATACTGTAACCTGCTAAATTTTAGGATTTAGTTGTTAAGGTATCTTGTTTTATTATTTATTCAAAGATATTTCCAAAAAGTCAAGGTTATTATAAAATCAGGTAAAGGTATAGCTATTCTTTATACTAGTATGATACTGTTATCCAAGCACAGTCCTTCTTGAAGTACAAGTCACCTGTTATAAGGCCAACTTGCCCTGAATATAACTGTCAGCCCTGAATTTCTGATGGAGACTATTAATAAAAGAATATCACAAACCTTACATTTCAGTATCTGATGATTTGCTTAATAGCTTTGCAAGAATGAATGACTAAGGGCAGATAAAAATAAATATAGTCCAATTTTGTAAAATTAGACACTAACAACAGCTTGTAATTTTTTGTTCTGGTTTCTTTCCCTTCATTTAAAGATGACCACATAAAAAGTTCATAAAATTGGTCATATCATATACATGTATAATACTGATATATAAAGACTGAAATAAACTCATAGCTGTTACAAGTGCCATGAGTAGATCCAGAAGGGGGTGTTGGGGATTATTACCTCCCCCCTCCCTCCTCCTTGGGATTAGGCTTTTATGTTTTAGAATATGCATGAAATAAAATATATTGGATCAAGGTTACAAATGTAGGATATCAACTTATGTTTTTCTAGTGAAATTGCAAAAGAAATTCCCGACTCCCTCTGGAAAACTGGTAAAATGCCAAACCCCTTCTGGAAAATGCATCACACCTAGTATAAAACCCTAGATATACTCTTGTTGTGTACCTGCTCTCGTTCCTGGATTTCAGCTGTAATATGATGGCCATCAATGTGAGCCTCAAACTGAAACACTGCACTGCCATCATCTACAGGGAATGTAAACACCGCCTCTACTGGGGTTTCCTCTGTATTGATGTAGGTCAGTGTGGAGGTCACTTCAGCTACATAGCCAAATATCTGAACATCAACCTTTATAGCTTTCAAAGGAACTGAAAATAAAATAACATTTGCAAATATGAGCAATGTGAACGACATATTGAATCTGTTTATATGTTTTTTTCAAGTATGAAAATTTTGAAAATGTTTTGAATACTTAATATATTGTCAAGTAAATATATAAACTTTAAAATGCTGAAAATATTGTCAAGCTTCTATATAAAGTAATTTAGTTAATTTCTAAAGTAATTTAGCTCAGTAAAAGGCACTTTAAATTCATCAAAATTTCACAAAATATGCAAAATAGCTCTCCTTCTATCCATTAGTAAAAGAGAAGAAATATGGTGATTAAAGATTCAGCTCAATTTTTTTCATGAAACATGTTAATCATATAGGGACTGTAGATATTTATGCATTTTTTTTGCTCATCTGAAAGTACTTTTAAACTGTACATTCAGAGATTACTGATGTGTAAAAATAATGTCATATTAAAATAAGGTCAGCAAACTATTTTAATGTCTTACAGACTCTTCAAGGGAATCTACCAGGTTTTTTGACAAAGCTTCACTGTAATTGTTTTTACTGAGATTTATGTACTACTCATGTATTTGATATACAGTAACTTGTGCACTCTGGCACTACTTTTTTTTTCAAATAATTATTTTAATTGTGAAAATTTGGCTAAAAATCGCACAAAAATATGACATTTAATTTAATTATGAGTATATTCATTCATTATCTTTTCCATATTTTTCTGTTTTAAGAACCACAGTTGATCAATGTAAGAAATTAATACTTTATGTTTTTAGACTTTTGTTCCTCTGTGTAATTTTTTTTAATTTAATAATTTTTTATTCGGTAAAAGTGTACATGACATGGCAATGACATAATGATGCATAATGATACAATACATATAACAATAATCAAAATATTAAAGAGACTAGAAATATCACATGACATAAGTATACAACAAAATATAAATATATGAGCCATGTAGTGCCCACCAATACCAGGGATAACACAAAAAAGAGGAAAGGATTCCTCTTATTTCCATTGTGGTCCCTGACATTGGAGGCATGACACAGAAAGTCATGTTATTTTGTATGAAATTGAAATAATTTCTTTTACTAATAAGGCATTAATTGCAATAATTTAGTTGAGATCACAATATATCACAGTCCAAGTTTGTATCACATTAAAATCACAGTTCAAGTTTGTATCACATCAATGAATCATGAAATAGTGCATCACAGAAAATTGTCAGTCAAACTGTAAAAATTTAATAAAAATATTATAAAACGTTAAATGTGCAAGCTAAAAATGGGTAAATTACTAAAGGACACAACATATGTGTGTTGTGCTTAAACTTAAGAATAAGTTAAATCTGGGACTCTATTAAGACTATTAAAAGATTCAAATACTATTGAAAAATAAACTAAAATTAACTGGCCATTAAATGGGCTTTGATGGCATGCTTGAAGGTGTGGGAAGATTGAATATTTCTAAGATTTTGAGGAAGGCCGTTCCATAGTGAAATACCATTAAAAGCAAAAGATTTTCTACCAAAGCTTCCTACCTTTGGTAAAGAAAATCGTCCTGTGTCACTAAAAGAATAGCTTACACAGGAATCTGATGATGAAAGTGCAGACACTCTGGACCTGGTACAGCGGTCATGGACCTGATTAAGGGGTACAAAATGCTCCTTAAGGTATTTTGGTAGAGATTCCTATAAAAGTTTTCTAACAAAGTCTTACCAGTATTATTGTTTTATCAGATTCTAATACTTAAGCAAATGCTGTAGACGAAATTACAAATTTCCCAATAAAATTCCCAAACTTCTTTGTTCCATTTTATCAACATTTCTATGAAAACATTTCTATTCAATTTACAACTTATTAAAGAATCATTAATACCATACAGGAATAAAAGCCTTATGGTCACCTTTCATCTAATTTGCAATATTTTTTTTTAATCAAGCTACAAACAACATTTATATAATTTATAGCCACCTACTATTTCCAAGCAATGTTACATGCTTTAAAATTACAGAACAGAACATATATTTTATTTTGAATTAAGCATATACAGCTCATCTTCATATAAAACAAATACATTGTATAAACATGCATGAATATGAAAAATGGTAAATACATATCAATAAATGAAATAAACTAACTTTAAAATATATTACTCAGGAGTGCTCTATTGCTAGCTTCTTTCAAATTTATACAAGCTGAATTAAAACTTTGTGAAAAGCATTAATACTTCAATAACAACAAAATGAACAACTTTAACAATACTTTTGATTAATATTTTCATAGTACATGTACTAAAGCCTGAGTAACAGAGGCATTTATTATATTATTTACCTATGTTTTCTTTTTTGGACAACAGCCAATATCTACAGAACATAACTTATAGACAGAAACAGAAATTGTTTCCTGACAATATTAGATGTAAACAAAATGTTCTGAACTTGACCTTGTATCCAACAAAAAATATGGTTTTTTTTTTGTTTTGTTTCTTTTTACTTTTTTTCCACTATTGTAACTATCCTTTGCTGAATTATGATATGGTAATTTTTAATTATGTTACTTAATGTGTCATTAAAAAAAATGTCCATCAGTATTTTTCTCATTCCTTTAAAAATGTGTCACAACCATAATATTTCATTAGCTATAAATGCTAAAACCAGTTATTCAAAATTAAAATGAAAATATTTATTATCACTTCATACAGTGAAAGATTCTGAACTTCACCCTTGAAAGTTCGCTCTACTTTCCTAAGCTCTGGAGCAGAACAGATGAAATAGAATAATTTTGTTTCATAGTAAACAAGTATTTTAAGTCTTTAGTGAATATCTCTTACAGTTTTTGGAAACTTTTGAAAATTAGGAAATATTCAAATATAACAAGGAGTTAAATTTCGGAAATATCACTTTCATGGTTATTTGCCCTTTAGAAATGTATTACAATTTGATAGTGAACAAATATTTTAAGTGAAAATGAATATAAATGATAGGTTTTGAAAAAAAACCTTAACAAAAGGTCAATCAGAGCCAAAAATTTAAGTCAGAAAAGGGGCTAAATATAATTTTAGTATTTTCTTCCCTTGTGATATGGGGTCAGTCTTTTTGAAAATGCAAAAAACAACAAAACATATTTGAAGTGAACAGCTTTCATAAGCTCTTAGTAAATTCACCTTAACGTATTGCTTATTATAGGTAAATATACAAGTGACCTTGACCTATGGCTGTCACTGGCTACAAATTTTGTACCTAATATACCAATGTCACGACACCAGCACTATAACTGTTTGAAAATCATTCAGTGGCTTAAAACTTTTGGTAACTGGGAAAATATTTTGACATTGGGTTACAATCTATCTCAGCATTATTCTGATTGTCACCACACATCTAAATACAAAAAGTTTATGACTTCATTGTATTTTACTTTCTACCTACATTTTTAATTCATTTTGTTAGGAAAAAAAAGTGATTTTATTACCTTCTTCATAATATTTTCACGATACAGCGTGAAAATGGTTAACATTGAACATAGATCTGCTGATGTCGTTAATCAATATTGAACTAAATGCGAATTAAAAATGTATTTCATACAATATGAATTCTTTTACATCATATATAATTCTAATGGTTTTTAGACATTTAATGGTCACTTCCAAATACCTGTTTTACATGGTTATGACATGTATAGCTCATCAATGACATTATGTGCATCCGAATATAATATAAAGTTTAAATGTAATAGTAATGTAGGTCTTGAAGTTATTGAACTTAAACGAAAACTTAACCAAAAAGGTTGACCAACATTGAGACAAAATTAATGCCTTTTTTTTTTTTTTTTAGAAAAGTGGACCTATTGCTAAAAGACATGTTCTAGAAATTAATTATACAGAATTTCATCATAGCTGAAATGACATCAAATTAAAACAAAGTAATAATACTTTTTTATATAAAGCTATGTTTTGATTGGGTACGAAACGCCTGTTGGACGAAACAAGTGAACAAGTTTTGCCCTATATTATTTATAACTAAGCTATTCTGTTCCAGTATTACCTATTCCACCGTTCTCTGATAACAACCCAAAACGATCCTGATAACCTTCATCATTGTTAGTCATGTTTATACACTTATTGACCGTAAAATATTCCCTGCAGATTGCACAAAGTTTGCCTAATTTCGTACCCGGATATTTACTTTTAAACGGTGTAAAGGTAGATTTTTACTACACTTGTGCAATGTATAAATTATTTCAGATTCTTGATGAAATTTACTGTTTGGCGTATATTTATTGACATTCACATAATTTAATTGTTTGAAATTTTAAAACTGTAACCTTGTGTTGTGTTGACAGTGTTAAACTTAAAGGTAAAACACATAGATTCTCTAATTTGTAACTGTACTGCACTGTATATCTACACTATCTCAGGGTACTGTAGGTCTATTTTGAATAAAATATTTTGTCATTGAACACTTGAATATTTTCACTCTAACTGTTAGTTAAAGTTCATTAAATTGTAACATGTAGAAAGGCTATCTGAATGTTGAATTCATGCCGTGGACTTTGTCGGAAATATTCATCATTTCACTTCCAAGTTTGTTAAATTTAGGGGTCTCTTGTATGCTTTACACACCTGCCCTGGTATTATAGAGCTCTATCTCTTTATAATAAATTGCTCTATCGCTACGTCCCAGCTACTGCATGTTGCCAAATTTTAGAGTCAACAGCGGACGTGTAATTTTTCCAACATGTTAAAAAAGCCCTGAGATAACAAACAAGCATTGTAAGACAATAAACTATATAAGTTTAAATTTATCATTTCTACATTTTGATTTATAGGAAATGGATTTGAGTGTCAGCAAGAGTTGTGATGCACTGCAGGCTGTAGAGAGATTATATAATCAGTTGAAACAAAACATAGAGCTTACAGAAGAGTCAGGTAAAATTAAACCTACTGAAACTGATTGTGTTTAGCATTTGCTACATAATTTGTAAAACAGTCTGACCAAGGTCTCAATCTCATTAAAATTAGATCATCGTTTTCATTCCATTACTCTTTGATACCTAGCTAAGGGTAGTGCTAGGATATAATTTTAATGAGATTGACCAGGGTCTATACTGTTTGTAGCTCAATTTTAACTGATGAAACTAGATAAAATAATAATTAAATTAATGTATAAATCATGGTTTGAATCTTTTCAAGCAAATTATTTTTAATGGACTTGTACTTCTTAAGATGGAAAAAAAATGTCATTAAAGTTTTGGTAATTTCAAGGATTTCAGAAATAAAAAAAAATCTGTCAAACTAAATCAGACACCATGCAATATCAGACCAAACATGAAAAAAGTGTAACTTAACAAATTTCATAGCCATAGTGGTTTTATTTCATAAATCAATTCTATTATCATTTTTACCTTTCAGTTTTTCAGAAATGTGTGGACACCCTGGAAAATTTAAGATCTATCAAATCTAGCCTTGAAGGGTCAGAGGTCAAGGTCACAGCTCCAGAGGTCAGTCAAGAATGGCTTCTGGAATTGAAACAGTTGACCTTGATGCATGTTCCCTCCTCATTGACAGATTCTGTTAGATTGAATTTCAGTAAACTGATAAAACAGTCTTTCCAAGGTATTTGTCTATATTGATTGTATAACTTAAGTTGAATTATTCATGTAGTGTGGTTTTGCTTTTTTAAAACATTAAAATTTTATTTATTGTCTCAAGGCATTTTATCTCATGATGCTTTTGATTTGAGTGTTAGTAGGGGAGAATGACCTATAAACTTTTTCAATGTAAAGGGAGACCTTTAATGTACATTATCCGTGCATATTTTTTGATACACCCATGCAACAAGGAAGAACCAGCAAGCATAGGCTTCTCACATAAAAAATACCTATAGTTTTATTTAAGGCAGAGAAAAAAAGGCAAGAATATAAAAAATTGCTATAATTCAATGCTGGATGTCACTTATTATTACTAATAATGAAGTTATTATAAACGTTGGTCAGTGATGATAACATGTTTGATCTACTTTTCAGACGAGGATGTTGATATTGTGTTTGCAGCTTTAATAACCTGCCCTTGGTATGGGTGTACTCAAAAAGAGCGCGGAGAGCATGCCAAATATAACAATCTATTTATAGTATACCAGTCAACACTAGAGAGATTTATGGCACCCCACAATCATCATATTATTGAACAGACTAATGTTGTAGATATGGTATAGTTTTTTCCCCATTACATTTTATATATATTTAAATTCAATTTGACCGGTTTGGAAATACAAAAGTAAAAGAGCTACGTTGGTGAAATAAGTGCCATTGAAATCATCAAATATTTGTCTGGAATATGGTATTTGTTCATTATGAAAATATTGATAGATATAATGAGATAAGCAAATAACTTTTAAGTCATGGGTGCGGCCATTATTGGTCATCAAATGTTACTGTAAACAAATGGCACATAATCACCCAGCCTGTATTACTATCATCATCGTTTGAAAAATATCATACAATCACAAATTCATTTAAACTGGACTAGTTCTACTTTGATTCATTAAACTAGGTTTAATTACTCTAGCATTTTATAATGATTTAGGAGTAGTTTGTTTGTGTTTTACCTATTTGATATTGTTTGTTTGTGAAGGTCATTTATGCTATATGCTGGCATATTAACTGTGTCTAAACAATCTGCATTTTTAGATGTATTATATGCTTAATGTAATATTTACAGAAACCGGTTCTTTTAAGCAATTTGGTCATCTCACTTCTGATTTGAGCATTAGAAGAAGAGAATAATATGTATCAAATGCCTTCAAAGTTTATTATATGCATGTTTTTCCTTGTTTTTCAGCAATGGTTGTATGCATGTGAATTGAACCATTTCGTACAGTTTATTGTCAAGGGAAAGACTCGTATTGTTGAGGCCTTATACTGTCCACAGTCAGCAGTTTTGTTTGAGACAGATATGTGGAAACAGTTGAGATCTAGGCTACATTATAGTCAAGTTACAGGTTTGAGCACTTATCTTTGTTTTAATGAAAAAAGATTTTTTTTTCAGTATTTTAAGAATTTAAATTTTAATGACAAAAGAAGAAATTTCAACATAATTTAGATTTAAGCCATTATTCTGTTTGAACCAAAAAATGCCTTTGCTATCTGTATAGTTCCAAGAAAGCATGCACATCTCTACAGTCTAGCCAGGCAATATGCTCAATTTTTGTATTTTGATATTGAAATCCTTTTGTTGCAATTAAGGATGTAACAGCACTTAAGTGAAGCTTTATATATGCTTATGATTTATTCTTCTAAAACAATTTCCAAACGTCCAAGAATATGTTAAATATGTACTGCAAATGTTTATACGCCTTATAAGTAATCATTAAAATGTATGCATTCATTTCTTATTGAAAAATTTGGCTTAGACTTTCTCAAAAATAAATTTCTAATTACCTCCCTTTATTAACATGAAATGTAAATTCGGTAATATCTTTACAAATTATGCTTTTTGGAACTTACAATATTGATAAATCTTTATTTGAGCATCAAATTATGCTTTTTGGAACTTACAATATTGATAAATCTTTATATGAGCATCATATTTATGATATAAAACCATAAAATATTTGAAATACAGGGTCTTTAACTCCCAAGTGGACAGTTCCAAATTCAAAAGCATGGCAAGTCCAATAGTGAAATTCATTCAGCATTTACCTTTCCGTAAATGGCAGCATATTTTATGTGATAAAGAAGTTTATAAATAATTTAGTCATAATGATATGGGAAGGTGTCCGTAAACAAATTTAATTTATGTATTTAAGTGCTGAAAAATGTGTACTGTAACAAAAAGAGAAAAAAAGCCTAGGAAATTCTTGTAATAATTCTCCTGGTGAAATGTTTTCAATGGTCACTTTTTCAGTTATATTAAAATTTGAAATCACACATCAACTTCTGGTAAAGAAAAGCACCTATTTCACAAGATTTTTAGATCATTTTTTAAGCAAAAATCTTTCCATATATTTGTAGGTCTTAGAGGTTTTCTTGAGGCATGTCGAGGTCAGTCAGTAGGTGGCATTGGCAAGAAAGGTAAAGATGGCAAGTTCAGGATGAAAGATTCAACTACATTTAGGGAGTTGTGCGACTCATTTAGGTTAGCCCCAATATCTTGCCCTCTTGTACATGTATTACATATAACTTTAAAGAAAAAGTAACTTTAGTGAGTAGTGATTATTTTCATTAAATATTATTAGCTTTACTTAAGCCTGGCTGGCAGGAAAATCCAAGATGTTTAGCATGAAATATACTATAGGTTGTTCATATCTTTCCATAGATCTTGGAAATAATAATACAGACAAAAGATTGTTCTACAGGGACACACAATCAGTACATTCTTGTCATATGGAACTATATATGAGCCGCGTCACGACAAAACCAACATGATGGGTTTGCGACCAGCATGGATCCAGACCAGCCTGCGCATCCGCGCAGTCTGATCAGGATCCATGCTGTTCCCTTACCGACTCTATTACAAGTAAAGAAATTGATAGCGCAGGCTGGTCTGGATCCATGCTGGTTGCAAACGCACTATGTTGGTTTTGTCATGACGCGGCTCAATTATAGTAATCAAGTTTAGTATAATTATGTACTACATTGTATAAGGCTTGATATCATTATGAAAACTAAGAGTCTATTCAATATCATATTTAAAAAAAATTAGTTTGAAGGTTTTCATTGAAATTACATTATTTGATTTCTTGTACAAATATATGATGTGAGAAGAATGCTATTTTCATTTTGCTATTTATAGGTTGATGAACCATGCTTATAACAGTATAAATAATCTACCTCCTTGTACAGGAGAGTTTGAAGAGCTTTCTTCAACTCCTGAAATAGCTCATAAATCATTGGAAATTCTGAGATCAATGTATCAAGTTAGTATTTCGTTTCATTTTCAATTTAATGGAATTGCTAGTTACAGATATTACCAGTCAAAATTTTCCTGAATGTGGCTATATTAGTCTGCTAAGTTTGTTGTTATGTTATATTGAATTAGTGGATTCTTTTACTGGTGTACATGTTTGTTGCACATTTAATTGTTCACTTTTTATCCTGAAAGCAGAAGCCTTTGATCTATCATCGAAGAATAAATCTAGGATTAATACCTCTATGAACTTTACATAAAATTCATGCTGTAATGAGCTATCCAAATGCTTTTTAAAGTTTTTGTCCTCAAAAATATTGGCTTCTAGAACATTTTGTCAATTCAAGTCACCTTACCAAAAGATCAATTGGTCAAGCACTTTTATTATAGAGTTGACCAGACAGGCTCCAGATAAACATACATGCTGTATTATTTTATATTTGAGCAGAATCCTGATGTGTCAAAGAAAGATGCTTTTGATAAACTGTGTGAATGGAAACAAGAAGTTGACAAACATTTAACACCTAAATATAACTTTGTAAAGCCAGAGGAAGTACAAAGCATTGTGGGTAAATGGCATATGGAAATGAGGCTGGGAGGAAGGACAATTTCTCCAAGCATATGTATGTAGTCTACTCCATCTTATCAAGATGTATATTCCATGTAACTGTGAAAGAATATCGTAAAATTTGAATAATTTCTTGAATTTTCTTAGCATATTTCATATCCCTTGAACATTATGAGGTTTATAAGTATTTTATAAATCATTTTTGTGTTGGATTTATTTGAATAAATGATCATTTTGATATCATATACAATGTGGTTTGTATGACATTTGTGTAAAAAATAAATAAATGTATAATGAAACTGAATTACCTGAATATTTATTTACGTGATAAAGCATTGGTGTGATTTTTGTGTTGATTTGCAAGTTCAAGTCATCCAAATCTCATAAGATGGATATATTCATTACTGTTGCATGTCTTGAAAGGCAGGAAATAAACTAAATTGGTGATAGGATGACCTATGACCATTTTATGGTTACATTGTATTTAACTTATTTCAATGTTATGAAAGCATTGTTCTATATTATACAAGGTGTTAAAGAAGGTGTATCAGATATGATGTGTTTACTGGAGGAGATCGGTGGACCGGTTGCCGGTCTTAAACCGGAACAGATATTGATGATAACACGGGCTGGTAGCTACATGTATGGCCTCTCTACACCAACCAGTGATACTGATTATGTCATCATATATGCTGAAAATACAGAGGTATACATCATGCAATAGAAAGTTATTTATTGTTTCCAGAGTGGTTTCTATATTATTCCAAAGATCCTTATAAAATTAAGCAAGTTAATTTACATTACACCAACACTACTTTCATTACACTGGGTCTTTACTTTCTTAATAATCTTTAAAAGTTAAGTATGAACCATGTATGTTTAAATTCATTCCTTTATATTTATGATAAGTTATAAAATATGTTTAACAGTAACTTACAGGCCCATTGGGTTGGGTATGTTTGTGTTGTATAAAATTTATGTCATATTCACACAAGCCTCTTTGATAATCAAATTTCTTATCGTATATTTTTACAGCGATATTTGACAGCTTGTAAGCAATTACCTGAGATTATAGAAAATCGGGGACCAAATAAGGAAGTAGAGTATGGTGCATACGAGGCTAGATGTTTTGCTGAAATGTTAGTAAAAGGCAGTGTAGTCATACTTGAGGTAAAAAAATTCATTTAGCCTTTCAGGTCTAAATAAATTTATGATAATTTGACAGTTTAACTGAATTGAAGCATTCATTATTATTGTTATTCAGATGAGATATGCTATTCAAAAGTGAGAACAATACGCCTCTCCATATGGAAGGTCAATGGTTTACTCATGCACCTGTTTGTGCCTGAAATCATTCTCAAAATGACACTCTAAAAGTCACTGTATTTCCCCATCACTAAAGCTGGAAAAAATAATGGAATATGATCTTTACAGTCATGGTAATTTTACACCTGGCAACAATATTTTTTAGTTTCTGTCTTACTGTTTTAGCTTGTGTATAAGGATGACCACAATTACATGAGTCCTGCCTGGAAAGCATTATGTCAACAGAAAGAGAAGTTTATATCAGAGAGGGCTATACAACAATACATGGGCCTCATAAGAAACAACATGAAAATGATCAAAAATGAGAAACATAAAGATGCACCTCAGGAAAGAAAACTATTCTATCAGGTAAACCTTTGATTTGCTTGTTAATTCTTACATTAGAATTTAGATGTATGATATACATGTAGTAATAAATAATTAAGTGTAAAATATCATGAATTTCTTGTCGAATTAAGTTACACTAATACCGTTTTGGTGATATAGCAACATTAAACCATTACTAGAGGAGGAAGAGATATCCATGGCTAAGTAGTTATAGTCTGATTTCAAACTAATTTCCCTTCAAGGCTGCAGGTTTGAATCATGCCAGGGACTTCAGATTATTTCATGTTAGGAAGTTAGTTAATTTATGGAATAATCTTAGGTTCTTGGGTGCCTGAAATAATGCACAGAGGGAACACTTTGTTCTTTCTCAACTATTAAAGCTGCAAAGTTGTAAAATACCATTACAGTTTCAATGCAACTGAAAACCAAGCCAATAAAGTAAAGGAAGATCCAAGGCGCTTCTCCATGCATTATTGGCAGCCTTCTATAAAGTTAGTTACATTTTACTGATAAACAAAATTTGATTGCAATTCATTTAATAAAGCAATGCAAAACTATTTTGAATTTAAATTTTGACTTAACATAAATGTATTAAAACTTGATAATTTAATAAAGTTGATTTAAATCAACAAAACAAACATTAAGATATATGTATTTAAGAATTATATGTTTATTATGTCACAGATTTACCACAAACTGGATAGCCTAGAGTACATGATGAAAAACGAAGCACCACCTGTCAAATGTACAGGAACAACTAGAGATTTTATCATGAGTGTTAGGACTGCACCACTTGAGGTCAGTATATACATTTGTACGTAATGATACATACAGTGTAATATACTGTCAGCACAAATTTGAAATTTGAACATGTAAATGTTTGTTTTGTTTTATTTAGATGATACATCTTTTGAATTATGACATTATTGTGAAAATCTAAATACTATTTCATGCTTATTTGCTTCGCATAATATGCACTTCTAAATTAAAGATATTGCACCTGAACTTTCATTACAATTGGAATATATTCTGTTCTATACATGTGTATTTGTATTACAGGGAGATCTTGCGAGAGACAAGTTGTATAAAGATTGTATAAACACGGTGGATGACATCAGAGATCGTTTAGCAAACAGACGGACACGTCTCCGAGAAAACTGTGATTTTGACTTTATCGTAGACTGGATTATGACAGTCAGGGGCATCAGTTGTAGTGTGACCTAGAATCATCCTAGCTATATAGTTTGTCACTTAATTAAACGCTTAATCTTGAAATTAAATAGTGAAGTTACAAAGGGATACGGACAAAAGCCCCATCGGACGAAAGCCCTCCCATCTAAAAATGACAAGATGGACAAAAGCCCCTCCCCCCCCCCCAATGAAATTTACACATAGGACAAAAGCACCCCCCCCCCCCAGTCCATGAATCATTGTTATTGAGAATCTCGTCAGTTTAATTCCAGAACTTGATGTATTGAGACAAGTCAAATGCAATTGTTTTAAAAGATAATTTACAAAGAGGAAGGGCTGACTTACAAAACGGGTTCTATAATAATGATCCTTCTACATTTGTGATCTTACTCTACTTTTATTTCATATACATGGTTATTTAATTAACATCAAAGTTTAATATACATGTATGTACTAGATGTATTTATTATTGATGAGATATAAGGTATGTCTTTCATTTTATGTAAATTTGAAGTTTGTCAGCTAACAATATAAAGCCTGGTCAGACAGGCAAAGGTTTATCTTTTTTAGTTCCAGTAGCCTAATGGTAAAACATACCTGCTATATCAATTTTGTTATACATGTAGTTCTTACTTAGAATGCGTCGTGCAATGTGATATCCAAAGTTCTTGATAGTTGTTGAATTTCTAGGATTTTTGTTTCTATTTTGAACTATACATGCACATGTTTTATATACTACTTATTTTGCATTTACAGTTATACAAAATATATATTTATATACTATATTAGAAAAAAAAATGAATTAGAAAAGAAAAGTTAATTGATTTTTATTAACTTTCAAAAAAGCACATTTTGTCACAAGATAATTTTACAATAGTATTAAACTTTGGATGACTACATCTGTTGTTGATTTGTAATGTTACTATACATAATTTGTATCAATAAGAAGTACACAAAAAGGATAATTATTTAATTATGATTTAATTACAAAATAATGACTTTCAACAGAACTCTATTAATTTATTTTATAGTCAGTTATTTTTCAATATTGTTTAAAGGACAATAATTATGGCCTTTTAACTTAGACAGTTTTTCAGCACCTAGTCATAGTTGATATTAACTTGCATCACTTTATAGAATACCATTCTATGTTCAGGTGAGAGCTTTGGGGCCAGTGCCACCCACTGCCCGCCCTTGGTCGGATTCTTATCAAATTTCAATACCTCAATACATGATGAATGGGTCTGTGGCCAATTGCCAGTCATCTATCATTATTTTGTGTGTATGTTTTGATTTATATAAAAACTCTGTAGAGTTCACAGTTTTAATTTGATTGTTATGAATATCAAACTTTGTCAAAATATTTATAATTTCATTTAAGTCATCTGCCACCATTGGGTCAAGAAAAAATGGTGTTTAAGGGTTAAAACTAGATCCCCAAGTGAAATAAAAAACAAACCGTTTAACTCTAGGTTTTACACTTTGATCAACTGTTATTGAAACTTGCTAAAGTGTCTGCCAAAGTTAAAACATGGGTCATAGAATACTTTGGTCAAAAACGATGTCGCAATAAAAAAAAAAATCCCCACAGAATGCCCAAAATGACAAAACTGAAAATGTTGCAGGCTTGGTTTGATTGATGCTGTTCATTGACAAAAGTGGCAAAAGCAAGCTACAGTCAACCTTTCCTAGAAATTCAAGAATTAAACATGTAATGGTAAAATATTGAATTTAGAAACATCCACAGATGTGTTCATATGGCAGATATCAAGGAACCTTAAATGTTTGTGCCATTCCATAAAATTTTGTGTATGGTCCCCAGGTAAAAAATTGGGTGTGCCTTATATGAGAAAACATGTGGCAAAACCAAATAAAACAACTTTTGTAAGGGAATCGGATGTTATGAAACCTGCATATCACAGAAGCAATCAAAGGACAAATTTAAAGGCAGGCAACATATCTTAAGGGTAGTCGTACACTGTACAGTACTCGGGTAGAAATACTGGAACCACTTGACTAGAAAAAAAGTTGAATAGAAAAAAAAGACCCCACTAACACAACAATAGTGCTGTGGTGAGCATTCTTAGAGAACAGAAAATATAACATCTCTGACAGAACAAGAAAATCTTTGTTAACACTCTTAAGGTCACAGTGTTGATTAGTTCTCCACCAATCTTTATCAAAGTATTTGTTTGACAGATATATCGGTCAGTATCTATTTATCTATTTGTATAATTATGATGAAAAAAAAATACAAATCTAAACAATAAAATATCTGCTCTTTAAATTGATTGTCCAGTATGCAAAAAAAAAAATGTTTTTACACTTTGGATTCTTGCTAATGACATAATTATGGCACCAAAATCTGTAGAGTCAGTATGCAAGCACATTTTTGCAGTCTGATCAAGCTCTACATATATACTTCTGACTAGTTAAATTCATTCTTATATAAGAATCAATGCATTGTTCCAGATTAGAAAAACAAATAATTATACAGAATAGCATGTTAAAGCCATAAACATAGGTAGTTTACTTTCAAAACTGCTAAAATTTACTCTGTTTTCTAGTCTTTGAATGTTACCTAGCTACTATAAAGCAGTTTTGTCAAAGTGATATAATTATGATTAATTGAATTTTATGAACCTTTGCAGTTTTTTGCCATATTTATAAGCATTATTAGTACAATACATGTATATGTAATAATGATTTTTTTTCTCTATCCCTTTTTATTGTCTAACATTTGCCCATCTTAGATTTTTTATTGTCTAACATTTGCCCATCTTAGATTTTTTATTGTCTAACATTTGCCCATCTTAGATTTTTTAGTGTCTAACGTTTGCCCATCTTGGACTGACATTTTTTCTTTTTGATTCCTCTGCTGTCATGTACTCCTTTGTCAAAAACTTTCTACTGATATGCATGGGTATCGCGAATAATTCATTTGTCATTTTTTTGAAGGGCAATTTTAACTGTGAAATTTGGACCTGTTTCCGAGAACTTAGATCAAACTTGTGTACAGCATCTGTTTCACCTATCATAGAGTAACCACCCATGATGTAAATGGCATGTTCATGGTACAGTGTTGCAAAGCCCATTAGCTGCGATCCTTTGGTCTCATTGATGACAGATGGGACAGAGTCTTCATTGTAGTGTATCATTTTGCCATTGGGACATGTAATGTATATATCTCTGTTAGAACAGCAAGCAGTCCCTAAGCTTAGAGTGAATGGGAGATTGTGATACAGTTTTGTACATGTATTAGAAATGGTATCGTAGCACTGAATATCCTTTATATAAACACCAGCTAAACTTCCAATTGAGCCACCAAATATGTAAATCCTTGATTTAATTGTTGCAAAGGCAGAATCATAGGTTGGAATTTCCATATTAAGAACAGTCTTCCAACATGCCTGTTTGATATCATACTTTTCGATACTTTGAACAACCATGAAAGCTTCTGAAGACACACCAGTGCCTCCTAAAACATAAACAGCTTGGTCAACATAGCCTGTAGCATGTGAGTGTCTGCCAGTTTTCATATCGGGTAGCCGAGTCCATTTATTCTCAGAAACAGAGAATTTGTAAAAACTATATGGGACAGAAGTTCCCCCTGACATGAAAATGGAATCTTCAGTTGCACAAGCAGCAAAGCCTGTCCCACCTTCACATACAGTGTTAGGTTCCAACATATACCATTTCTTTTGAGATAAGCTACAACATCCAATTTCAACACTAGAAAGTTTCGAACTTCTTTTTAAAACTATGAAAACTTTTTCTTTCCTTGGGTTACATGTGGAGCCACTTTTCATTGTATCTATAGCATTCTGAATTAACTTTTGACATTCTTTGTCACTTTTTACTACTTTATGGCTCTTTAAAATTTCCTCCAGAAATGATTTTTCAACTAAGGTCAACCTTACATCTATCAACAATTGACCTAGACTTTCTGGTTGATTATTGTTTAAAACCCATCCAAGTGTAAATTGTAAAACTTGTTTTTCATCATTGACATTAAGATTTTCTTCTTTTAGCAGTTTTTTAATGTCTGTCAAATTGAAACTTTTTTGCAGCTTCAAACAATTGATAGTATTGAAATTTTCAACAACGTATTTCCAGGCTTCATTAGAAAGAAACGGGCAATTATATGCTGCAGCAAAAGTCCAGATATCAACACAATTATTTGTATCAATTTGCATTGCAAGAAACTCTTCACACAATTTTTGTAAGGATTCAACCTGTAAATAAACAGCCGCTGACAGCAGATCTTGTGCATTAGACGTGTTCACTGGATTTTTCCCTGTGTATATATAACCCAGAATCACAGAAAACATTTCAGGCTGAATACCTTTAATTATAATTTCATCATCAGATTCTTCTTTCATTCCGGATGTAAACATAACTTGAAAATAAGATGACATTGCAGCAAGCAAAATTTTGTGACAAGAAAACATTTTACGACCAACTCGTATAGTAACATCCAAACACACTCTATGATCATTTAACAATTTTGGAACTTCCATTTCAAAAACCAAATTCCTTAGATATTTCAATTCAAGATTCACAACATGTTGAACAGATTCTCCTTTTGAAATTTTCTTTTTGCGAATTCTTTGGTCAACAGATAAGTCAAGTTGCAGGGAATGGATGATTTCAGTAATCTTACTACCAATTTCAACATCTCCATCATATAAAAACTCAACTAAATTCTCAATATCTGACTCTGTATATTCATTGGCTGACACCTGCCATTGTCCAACTTGGGTTTTACATGATTGCCTTATGTGGGACGAGAATACTGCCAAAACAAGTTTTATGCAGAGATACAGGCTTCTGTTTGGTCAAAAGTTGTGAGTCCAGAAGATATCCATCATGCCTAAGTTCTGCTAACTTTCTTGACAAATATTTGAAGTGAGAATTTGCCATTGATGTACAGTATGTACTACAAAGAGAAAAAAAGTAATTTTAATAAATCTATATTGTTAATATTTAGCTGGACAAACACAATGAGAGTATATAAAGTGATAAGCATCACCAATAACATTTTCATCTTAAGATAAGTTTATAAATACAAAGTAAAAGTATACAGTATATGTACATGTATAAAGTAACTTAAAAAAATCTTTTAATCTGATATTGATTTTAAAAATACCATTCATTTCCATGTTTAATTTTTTAAAATTGCAGAGAATGAAAGATTTGTGTGTGTTTCTCCTCTATAATCTGTATCATTAACATGATTTTTAAACTTTATTCAATTATCAAAAGAAAGTGTAAGTCTAATTTTTTAATTTCATTTATAGTTTCGTGGAATTAATTAACTTATAAGCTAGTTAATTAATTGATCTGTTGACTGGGTGGCCAAATAGAAGTTGAACTACAAAATATTTATTGGTAAGGGAACAGTAAAGTACGCTTTTATCAAAAACGTTAACACACCTTAAACTTGCTTCTCAGTTATGTCTAATCCACTATAAAATTAGCACGTACACATTCTGACAGGTATTTGTTGACATAATCACCTAGCACAAAGGGACGTAACTTCAAGTGAAAGCACTTCCGGGTTAATGAAAATAAAAATTTTGGATTAAAAACACCTTTTTCATACTAAGGATGTGTCTAGTATTGGGTGCAACAGGTTCTGGTAAAACTCTTCTTGTGAAAAGACTTGAAAATTCACGTATCCTTTTATAAGTAAATATCATAAAATACATGTAATTAATTGAGAAACTTGTCATATTTCGGACAGTAATTTTCGGTTATTTTTTTCTGTTCTAGTACAATGTATCACTGTTTATGGTTGTTTTAATGTAATCTAATGTAATGTTATATTTTTGATAATCATATAATGCAATGTGCGGCTAGACTTAAGAATCTTGTCGGAGGTTTTTTAAAATTTAAGAATTACCCAATATTTGTTTCTCTACAAAATCACTCAAATTACTGATTAGGGGTTAGGATTGTTTTGGGTTAGTGTTAGAGAGTTACATGGATTCTGCTACAGACAATGTGCTTGTATCCCAATAGCTACATGAAAAAAACCAAAACAATTTATGTTTGCCAGTTCAACAATTTCAGACAAATTGTTATTTATCATTAATTATTGTAAAAGATGTAGGTTATAAATATTTAAATGACATTTTCTTCATTTACACACTTTTTAACAACACTCACAGAGTGAGAAAAATGTGTTAAGCCTAACCAGCAATCCTGGGATGGAACCTGAGTGGGACAGTTGGAATACCATACTGTTGATGTACCAGCTGCCTACAGTGTATTCTACCCTAATTGAAAGTGATATTCAATACAGTGACATAACCTTATTGGGATTTTGTATGTGCAGATATTTTCTATGTAACTTTATTGGGTTTGATATATTACTGGGAGATCAATAAATTTGTGAAATATCTGGAATGACACTGAATAATACAAACTGAGTGATACAATAAACATCAAGGTACCAATCTTGGTGTAATTTAATTGTCAAGTGTGCATTTATAAATAGTCATAACACACTTTATAGTTTAAATTTTGTAATATAAAGCTCTGTGCTGTTGTATTTTGAATTCCTTTACTATAATCACAGCGGATGCTATTAAAAAGGGACCAGACTTTAGTTTTGAAGATATGCCAGCCACAATAGCTACTGTAAGTATGCAGAGTAACAAAGTTATTCATATATGATATACATGTATTTATTTTCTGGGCAGGCCTTGGATCAGGAAGGTTGTAGTTTACAGTCTCTGGGCTTGGGTCAGGGAGACCGTATTATTAAAATTGTAGTAATATTTGTGATATTGTCATTTGTTAGTTTATTGTTCAATTGCACTTTGCTTTGCTATATTTTTGGCTAAATATGGGGTGTTATATTTTTCTGGTCCTTAGGGATCATTGCTGCCAGCACTATTAAGTGTTGAGAATTGAGTACCGCTCAAGCCGGTGCTAGGGGGCGTGAGGGATTTTGCACTTTATCATAATACCTTATGTACAGACTCAATCAAAGATTCAAACCGAGTCTGCAATTTTCATGTAATTTTGTTGTGATTATAGCATTCGAGGGATCACTTTGTTTCCAGATTTTTATACTTCACAACAGCAGGTGTCAAGTGCTGTGTGGCAGCTGTAAAAGTTGCCCCATACTTCACTTCAGTGTTGTTATATTTTTCTGGTCCTTAGGAATCATTGATGCCAGCACTATTAAGTGTTGAGAATTGAGTAACGCTCAAGCTGGTGCTTGGGGGCGTGATGGATTTTGCACTTAATCATAATCCCTCATGTACAGTCTCAATCAAACCGAGTCTGCAATTTTCATGTAATTTTGTTGTGATTAATGCTTCTGAGGGATCACTTTGTTTACAGATTTTTATTTTAAACATGTTGGCATAAAAGATACTACCTGAATCACCATGAGTTTTGAATGTCTTGCAGTGAGTTTACCCTATTGATTTTATTACTAGCTATATAGCAATGTTTCCATGTCTTTGTAACTTATTTTACAGTAACTTAATTACTACATGACTACTAACATATAACTTGAGTTTATACATGTACTGTAATTTGAAGGTTGGTACCAATCTTGTGTCAGTGTCAGTAAATAGAAGACAGGAGATTACAATGAGGGAAATAGGTGGATGCATGGGTCCTATTTGGAAGAACTACTTTAAAGATGCCACAGCTGTTATGGTAAAGTTTGACAATATTTTCACATTTTACATCCGATTTTTTGGCCATTTAACGATAAGGAATTTGGTCCAATTCTTCTTTCCAAAAGGAATATTTTACCGCTTTAGCAAAATTTCCTATAAGAAAAGACAAACAAAATACTAAAATACTGTTTGTAGTTTGAAACCTTTTAAGCCTAAGATTACAAAGTAGTGCTTATTACAAACATTATGAAATACTAGGAAATGAACATGTATTTTACCTTTGCTGATTAAAAGCAAAGACTTTGTTTGTTTGCCATTTTTAAGCCGATTTTTATGCCCCCACAAAGTGTAAGTCTGTCCGTACGTCCCTAAATCTTGTGAACGCAACTCCTCTTAAACCGGATGGCAGATTTCCAGGGATGAACAACTTTAATGTGTAGATGGAAGTAAAGGAAGGAATTTTTGCTGCGACCAAATTTAACAGAATTATGGCCCTTTGTTGATTTTTTCACTATATACCATATATATGTTGTCAGTGGGGGCATCCGTGTCCTTTGGACACAGTTCTAGTTACTACCTTATCAATCTATTCAAGGAGAAATTTTAAACCAGTGAGCCAAGCAAAATAATGTTAATTTTAGTTTAATACAGGTCCTGTTTTTATAAACAATCTATCATATCATGGCTATAGGCCAGTAAATACTGTGCACATGGTTGGTGAACTTTATGATGATCATCTTTATTTCCTTTTCAGTATGTGGTTGATATATCAAATAGATTACAAGTAGCAGCATCATGTATACAGCTTCTGACAGTATTAGCTTCAGATGGTTTACCTCCAAAAATACCAGTTCTTATTGTTTTTAATAAAACGTAAGTGTGTAAAAGCTTTGCAGCCCATCTAAGCATGCAGTACTTTGTGTTGAGCTTTTGTAATAAGATGAATTCTGTTGTGTGTAATGTGTCATTATCTACTTTTTCCTAACGTACTGACTAGTATAAGATGCTTAATGTAGAACCTCCTTTCTTAAGGGTTCTAATTCCACACAGAGGGGACTTTTTATGCCCCCATTATTGGGGGGGGGGGGATTTAGATTCACCCTTGTCTGTCCATCCATGTGTGTATTTGTGCATTCGTTCGTGCATGCATGTGTTCTCATGTGTCACATGTAGCTCTAAAAGTTCTTGTGCTAGAGTCGACAAAATTTACAGAAATGTTGATCAGCATGTGAAGTTGTGTGTCTGGGGTTGGGAATATGGATTAGTTAAGTTTTGTTAGAGTTATTGCCCTTGACGTGGTAAACATTTTCAATTTGTGTCACAAGTAGCTCAAAAAGTATTTGACTTAGCGTCATAAAACTTTACAGCACCTTTGGTAAGCATGTGTTGTTTTGCACCTGTTGGTTTGCTTGTGAATGTATTCAGTTTTTATAGAGTTATTGCCCTTGACTTAGTGAAAAATTTGCAAATTTCAACTTGTATCATGCACAGCCCAAAAACTTTTCACCCATAGTGAAACTTTACAGAAATATTGGTCAGCATGTGTAGTTGTGCACCTGGAGTGTGATTGTAAATTAATTTAGTATTTCTAGAATTATTGCCCTTGACTTAAAAAATTGCGATTTCAGATTATGTTGCACATAATCTCAAAAAATATTTGACCTTTTTAATTAAGAGATATTTGCAGTTCTACTTATTTAAACTTTTTATTGCAAAAAGAGTAAAAATATTAAGGAATTTTTACAACTTAAAATGATTATATTTCTAAATCTGGATGGTAAACCTCCTTATTTTTTTGCTTATAGATTTAGAATTGTATCTAAAAATTATTATGGAATATAAAGCAATGCCCCTATGATTTATAACAAATCTGACTGGTTTTCTGAACCAACCCTCTTCAATTTCATCCAAACTGAGAGGTAGCTGTTTTAATGAACCATCCTATTTTTTACTAAGTGCTTTTCTTTGCTTTTCTTTGTTATTACTTTAGTTTAAAACTAAAGATGAAATAGAGACTTCTATTCTTTAGTCAATGAAAACATGTTTGTTGGTTATGTTCCATAACTGATACAAAATTTTAACTTGAATCATCAATACTTTTTAAAGAAGATGGTAAACAGTTTTAATTCTTATTATTTTTGTCAAGAATATGTTAATTTTAATACTACTAAGTTTTCAGTGACATTTAAAATATTGTATATTATACATCTAATGATCTAATACCTTATAACAACATCTTTGCCCTGTGGGGTAAGTTATTTATGTAGGTTTATACAGGGAAACAAATTTAAATACTGAACAAGTTTGATTCTGAAAAAACATAGTCTAGTGGACCTCTACAAAAGTTTATAAAGTCATATCGGCCTGCATTGCCGGTCACTAAATTTACTAAGATAAAACAAAAAACACATAATAATATTTTTGTGTGTATCTGCATGCCTAAAGCTTAGAAATTTGATATGTAGCATGGTAATCCTGAACAAAAGTTAAATAAATCTTGTGACTTTAACATACACACAGTTATAATAAAAACATTTTTTCTGACTTTGACATACACACAGTTATAATAAAAACTGTTAAGACAATACTCTTTATAGATAAACCAAAAGCTTTGTTAATAGTGTCAGTATTAAAAGTGCTTAGGACTTTAAAGGATTTCTGGCCAAAATTAATGGGTTCAAACCCTGTCAGAGGCTCGTGGTTGTTTCTTTATGCAAGAACTTTTACACTCATTGCTTAGTGCCGGTTGGTCCCAGGAACAAATTCATTTTAGTGTGTCAATAAACTTATTGCTGCCTACATAATGGAACTAAAATAAGTTCTATATAGAGTCACTTACCATTATTAAGATTATTTTGACCATTTCTTTATGATTGTAATTTCCTTTTTGTTAGTCTAAAATTATATGCAATATCTTATTGTATTCTCTTTCAGCAACCATGCCAATGACCATGTACGGTTATGGTCTTGGAAGAAAATATTTTCATATGTAAATGTTTTAATACTATTTCAGGGATATGCCAGGCAAGCTTACCAAAGGTGAAATAGAGACATTATTTCGTTTAAGTGACATTAAAAGTCATTGTGATAGACCACTTGAACATATAGAGGTCAGTGCATGTACTGGACAAGGAATTCATAAAGTCATCAAGTGGATGGAACAAAATTGTTTTGGGAAATGATTTAGGAGGATGGATTATTAGACGTAGAAATCATCAAACAAGAGATTAGAGCATTTAACCTAGATATGCTTTACCAGGAATGCTGTCTTGTTCTGTAGCATCATGAAAAGGTTCATTCTAATACTGTATGTGACAGTTCTCATTGGAAGTTAGTGGATCAAATCCTGTTAATTTATCACTCATTGATTGTTTAGATGGGTATAAAACAATTTAGCTTCAGCAACGAATGCATAGCTTTCAGTACCATGTGCAAAATGTGTAGTTTTTTTTGTTTTTTTGTTGTTGTTTTTTTCTTCAGAACATGTACTTTTTGTTGTTTTTGCTTGTAAAACTTAAAAAGAAAATTTTATGATTTGAAAATGATAGCTTTAATTAAAAGTATCGAATGATACATTGTATAAATCAGTATTAATCCATGGAAATTTTTGTATGTTAAGTTTTAAGCTAGTCTTTTAACTAGATGTTTGCACTTATGAAGACACTTCCTATAAGGCCTTCTCGACCTTAGTACAGTAGTACATGTTTTATGAGGTGTTTTACTACACACAAGAGCAACTGGACCGACAATGAGCCCAGGGCGGTACCTATATAGGTCGGAGTCGTTTTTGTCCTGGAAATGACGAAGACAGTATTTTAATTAATAACAAATTTATTAAGTCCAAAGTATCGCATAAGAATGATGCATGCATTATAACAAATGTTGTAAACATATAATAATTTTAACACAAAAGTTTATAATGCATATCAATTAATACATAATGATAATGTCAAGTTACATGTATCTTATATCATGTTAACAGGTTGGTACTTATTTAAAATAATACAAGGCAAAATGGGGAATTAAGCTTTGCATATGAGAGGTACCATTTATATGAAAAGTACTATAGATTAACACAAAAATAGATTTCTATAGTTACTTAAAAATTGATTGAAACATTTCTTTTCATATTTACTTTAACAATTTAGATAAGTGAGTCTTTATTTTTAATACTAAATAGCTTAGCCCTAAGCTTTCCTATTTTATTATTTATAAAGAACTCACATTATTACTTTTAAAACAAGTAAATATTTTATGAAATAAAATGACTTATAACATTTCTGTTATATACAATTTTACAAAAATTAAAATAGAGTACAATTTCACCAAAAATGTAAGAATAAGATATATTTTCTACATAAAAATGTCATTACTTATTAATTGATCAAAAATAAAGTTTTGATTATTGCTACAAATAGTTTTACATTTATCATTTATAAGTACAAAGAAAATTACATACTAACAATAAGAAAAATATATTATGTTGTACATACCTGGAAATGACGAAGACAGTATTTTTAATTAAAAACAAATTTATTAAGTCCAAAGTATCGCATAAGAATGATACTTTGGCTCCAAAATTTCCTTATTTTAAAACTTGTCTTCATTTCTGGTACAACATACGATTGGTTCTTTCGGAACCCGGTTTTTGATGATTGGTCCAGCAATCAAGATTGTCACAAAGTTAAGAGTGGGAGGTGCCATTTGGACTGAGAAATCTCTCAGCTTTGGTGTTTTTGTAGTAATTTTATGTTAATGCTAAACAAGGTGATAACCTATCAGCTTATTAAAAGCCAACAAGTTAACACAATGACAAACATCCTTTACAGAACAAAAGGTGCTAATGGAAGCCATTTGCCAAAAATAACAATTGCAAATGTTTAAAATTCCAAAGCTTATTTAAGAAAATTTATAATTAAATATCACCAAATCACAGTTTTTGGAACAAAGTTCATAATAGCAAAATAAAACTGAAATATTTAAAATCTATGTTTAAAGACAAAAATTTTGATATTAATTTTAACTATTTAAGTTAAAATTTAACAAAATGTACTTTTAAAACATTTTACCTATTTATATTTATATGATTATTAATTATGATGTATTACATAATTTTATATAAGAAAAAAGGCACATCATAATACATGTATTATGATTATATGATTAATTAGTTTTAGAATATAGTTCAGCCAAAAATCTAAGAGGCAGTGACACTGCCATCAACAGTGGTATTAAAAATGTTTTGTAATAAAGTTCTTTGTCACATTTACGTTTTTTATCACTCACCATGCTCTTTTTCTGGCTTTGTAAAAAAGGCAGGGCACATTCATACATATAATATTTGCTAATTGGCCTAACTTGTTTATATTGGTTAAACCAATATGTTTGTTTTATAAGAACTTTTATTTGCCATAAAAATTTATAAACTTTGTCAATAAATATGATATAATTGGAATTCAGGAATCAAAACTTGATGACGTTGACACTATTGATATAGACGGCTACAAATGTTTTACTTCAAACAGGAAATCAGTTGCCAGATATAGATCTGGAGGTATTGCATTACTTGTAAAAAATAACATTTCTGATAATATAGAAGTTCTTGAGTGCCAAACTAAACTAATGCTACTTTTCAAAATTAAACTTGATCAAACACAAAATGAAGAAGAAATAGTTTGTGGAATAATATATATTCCACCTATTAGAACCAGGTATGCACATGTTGATCCTTATCTGGAATTACAAATGGAGATTGACAAATATGATGGAAGTAAACTGTTGTTATTTGGAGATTTTAACTCTAGAGTTAGTAATGAAAGAGATTATACTGAAATAGATAGTTTTATTTGTGATATAAATGGTAATAGTGAAGCATATGAGGAAAACCAGTTACTTTTTGAATCATTTATACATTCTGATATTCCTATTGTAAGAAGAAGTATTGATACCGTTAAAAATGAGTATGGTACAGAACTGTTGGATTTTTGTAAAAGCAATGACATTTTCATTTTAAATGGTAGATTAAATCCTGACTATGATAATTGTAAAACTACATGTAAAGGAAAAAGTGTGGTAGATTACTATATATGTAATACTGAATGTTTTAAATATCTAAAATCATTAACAGTTGGAGATTTTTGCTCATTACTGTCTGATGTACACTGTCCTATCTCATTGTGTTTGAAAATGAAACATGAAGTTAAGATAGAATGTGTTAACACAAATGATAAAATTGATAACACACCTATATGTAAGTTATGGAGGGAAGGTTCCAATGAAATATTTTCTGATAATATTAACAAGGTAGATGTTGACAATGTCTACAGCAACTTATGTAAGCTTAGTGAAAGTAACCAGGCCACTCAAGCAGATATTGACACAATTGTAAATAACATTAATGACATCTTTCAAAATTGCTGTGAAAATACTTTTGGTTTTAAAATACCAACTATTTCACATGGTAAAAACAAAAAGAAACCATGGTTTAATGCTACTTGTAGAAATATGAGAAATAAATACCACAATGCTAGAAAACTGTATAACAGATATAAAAATATAGAAACCAAAAATAACTTGAAACAAGTAAGTAAGGAATATAAATCATCAATTTCAAGAAGTGTTAACTTATATAAACAAAATAAAATAAACTCTTTAAGAAATTGCAAGTCTAAAAGTAGTAGGGACTTCTGGAAAATTATTAATTCTGTTGACATGAAACCAACAGAAAGCACCTCTTTAGATAAACTGTATACATTTTTTAAAGAAATAAATGAAAATTCTTTTGAAAGTAATGAAGAAATTGAGGTTGAATTTTCACATAATGTAAATGATGAAATAAATCTGCCAATAACAGGAGAAGAAATTCTAAAAGCACTAAGAACACTAAAAAATAATAAAAGCCCTGGTGTTGACAAAATTATTAATGAACATATAAAAAGTACAATTGACTGTATGTTGCCTATTTATGTAAAACTGTTTAATCTTATATTGGATACAGCCATTATACCAGAATCATGGACAAGTGGAAACATTATTCCTATTTATAAGCAAAAAGGTGACAAAACAATGCCTGAAAATTACAGGCCCATTACACTGTTAAGCTGTGTTGGTAAATTATTTACAGCTATTATAAATAGTAGATTGAATAAGTATGTAGAAGACAACAATATTATTAGAAACTGTCAGGCTGGTTTTAGACAGAATCATTCAACTATAGATAACCTTTTTGTTCTACAATGTCTCACAGATTTACTTAAAGCAAATAAAAAAAAGCTATGTTGTGCATTTATTGACTTCAAACAAGCCTTTGATTCAGTTTGGAGACAAGGACTGTGGTTTAAACTTTTAAAATATGGCATAAATGGTAAATGTTTTGACCTGATTAAAAGTATGTATGCAAACATTAAATCTAGAATTGTTACAAAAAATGGTAATTCTCTATTCTTTAATTGTTTAAAAGGTGTAAGACAAGGAGAAAATTTGTCTCCTCTCCTCTTTTCATTATTTTTGAATGATTTAGAAGAGTTTTTGTGTGAAAAAAGAGCAAAAGGTGTAAATAGTGTTGCTCAATGTGAAGGTTTTTATCAATTTTTACAAATATTTATAATTCTTTATGCAGATGATACTGTTATAGTTAGTGAAAATGAAGCAGACTTACAGAATAGTTTGAATATTTTTGAGGAATATTGTTTAAAGTGGAAATTAACTGTTAATGTTAGCAAAACCAAAATATTATTAGTGGGTACAAGGAAAAAGAATTATAATATAAAATTTTTATTCAATGGTCAAGAATTAGAAATAGTAAATGAATATAAGTACCTAGGCATATATGTATCAAGAAGTGGCAGCAATTTAACAGCCAAAAAACATATTGCAGAACAAGCAAACAAAGCCATGTTTTCACTTTTAAAAAAGATCAGAATACTTAATTTACCTATTGATCTACAAGTTGATATTTTTTGTAAAACTATCAGACCAATTTTATTGTATGGTTGTGAAATTTGGGGGTTTGGCAATTTAGATATATTAGAAAGAGTACAGTTAAAATTTTTTAAATTAATTTTAAATCTAAAAAAGAGCACCCCATCTAATATGATATATGGAGAACTAGGTGTACTACCACTGGAAGTAGATATAAAATCTAGAATTGTTGCATTTTGGAGTAGGTTACATAATGTTGAATCCAGAAAATTATCTAGTAATTTATATTTCAATATGTTTATTAATCAAAACCAAATAAAATGTAAATGGATTGAAAATGTTAGACATTTAATAGTATCAAATGGCTATGGATATCTTTGGAATGTCTTTTCAGATGTTAATGCAAAATGGTTAACATTATCATTTAAACAAAAGATAAAAGATCAATTTATGCAAAATTGGAAAGGAAATATTTCACAAACATCTAGTGCTAAGTGTTATAACCTTGTTAAAGAAAATTTTGTGCAAAGTAAATATATCAATATTCTTCCCAAAAAGAACTGTAAAACAATGATGGCATTCTTATGTAGAAACCATAGACTGCCAATTGAAGTTGGAAGATGGCATAGTATTCCATTACCAGAAAGAAAATGTCAGTTATGTCACATACATATTGGTGATGAATTTCATTATGTACTTGAATGTAAAAATTTCATTGATGATAGAAAAAAGTTTGTTAAAGCATACTATTATAGACATCCAAATATACTGAAATACAATCAATTA